GTCCCCGCTTCGCACGGGTTCGGCGTCATCTATCCCGACGGCTCTGTGAGAGGCGCCCTTCGACCTGACCGAGCCGCTCCTCCTGCCCTGACGCCTCCGCTTGGGGACCATTCTCTCCCTGTGCATGAGGCGGATCCTGAAGATTTCCCTGTCTCACAAGAACTGGGTGCTCCACCAGTGGGCCGACTCCCACCTGCCTCTCCTTCGCCAGAACACGCTCATCATGCGGATTGGGACGTCCAAGCTGAAGAGCGACCTCCACGCAGTAGGCATGCTCCTGGAGCTCTTCCTGCCCCGGAGAATGACTCCCAGATGAAGAACAGGTGCGCGCGCGTGGACGTGACGAGGGGAGTTACTGGCCTTCTGCCGCACACCTCGCTGGCTCTCCGACTGGCTCTTGAGAGGCTAAGCCAAGGTATTGACCCGCGCCCGACATCCCCAGCTCACTCTGCGTCGTCTCCATGCGCGGACTCGGAGAGGACCTCTGATTCGGCGGACAATGTCTCGCAGCATGGCAAGATCTCCAACCAGCAGATCGAATGCGCGATGGGGGGCCTTGGACATTCTCTACCGCTGGCTGGATGATTCGATGGATGATGTTACACCCTGGCTCTCTCGTCGTTGCACATGACGAACGGCCAGCTGGCCCTTCTCGTGCTCCTCTTCCAGTGCCCGTGCATGCGCAGCACGCTCCACCCTCTCATGAAGATGGTCAAGCTGGCACTTCCGCCCGAGGCGAAGGCGCCTTCCCCGACTACACGCCCTTCGACCCTGCTGCGCTGGACGCTATCGGGGTGGTCTCGTTGCCCTCCCCACCTGCTGCCTTCCCCGACTACGACCCGTCGCACATGGTGGACGTTGGGAATGGTGATGCTGCACCTGCTGATTCTGGCGCTGTTCCTGATCACGTCCCCTCGGTCGCCGACGCGCGCGTCAGCGACCCCACCCCCTTCGACCCCGCCGTCGACGCCCTGGGCATCTACGGCGTGAGCCTGAGGGGCTCCGCGCTCGCGCGCACTCAGCGGCTCTAGGCGGGGCTGGCCTTGACCTTCTTCAGGGGCGCTCGCTCCTCCTCCTCCCCCCCTCCTCCCCCCCCCCTCGTCCTCCTCCTCTTGTTTCTCTCGGCCACGGCGGCGGGGTCCGCGGCCGAGGCGCCCGAGGCAGACGACCGTGGCCGTGTTGTGGTCGTTGTCACCGTCCGCGCTCGCGCCTCCCGCCCCCGTCTCCTCCTCCTCCTCCTCCTCCTCCCTCCTCCTCCTCCTCCTCCTCCTCCTCCTCCTCCTCCTCCTCCTTGTCGCGATCCAGTCGTTCGTCAGCGACTTCGTAGATTTGTCGCATGTGCGAATGGGGAAGTTTTTGTCACCTCCTTGTCGCCTCGATCGAGCGCTGCAGAGTGCTGGCGCGGGCCGCTGGAGCGGAGATCAGAGATCAGCGGTGTCGCGATCAACCGTCACATCCCAGGACTCTCTTCCAGGTGGCCCGCATGGTGGCCAGAGCGGTTTGGCGCCGAGATTGTCGACTCGCCCAGGGGGTGCTGGACCGACCCGCGCCCGATTGTTTCTGATGTTCTAGAGCCTGTTGGGGTTGAAGTTCGGTTGCGACGCCCGCCCTCGTTCGGGGCCTGGTCTGAGCGGGTTCAACGCGAGGGGCCGATGACACGTGGGGCGGAGCTCGAAGCCAGACAGGACTCCTCGTCAACGCCTGCCGCCGTTCGTGCTCTGCTGGGGGCGTTAGCCCGCAAGGCCCAGTTGTGGTCCCCGCTCGGGAAGCGCACCATCCCCTCTTCCATCCTGCGCTCGTTTGCCCCTGCTGCGTCTACCCCGATCGATCGTCTCTCGGCGCCTACTGAGTATGGGGGTCCTGTCTCCTCCCGGAAGCCTTGGGATAAAGTGTTGGCAACGCGATGCCTTCCTCAATGGCCGACGCCTCTCCCGTCGCTGCACGTGCCGCCGCCTACCTTGAAGATGATTCGCGGTGATCGCGCGCGCGAAGGATTCCGCCCCTGGCGTGGATGGGCTACCGTGCGCCGCCTGGTTTGCGGATGTATTCGGGGAGCGGATCTGGTTTTGGGCTGTTGGGTGGCTCCTCTCAGGCCAAGCCCTGTTCGGCGCTGCTTCTACTACTCTTCAGGCGTTTCTCCCGAAAGCGATCTCGGAGGAGGAACTTGCGTCGGGCGGGCGCGTTCGGCCGGCGGAGAAGGTCCGCGCGCTTGGACTTTGTAACGCAGATGTGAAGATCCTGTATGTCGTGATTAACCGTGCCCTCTTGCATGCCTTACAGAGCGTTGCCCCTGTGAGCCAGCGAGGCTGTGTGCCGCGTCGGAACTTCGGGCTGAACATTCTCGATCTCGATTGCCGCGCCCGCCAGCTGTCGCTGCCCCTGCCGCCGCGCGTCCCGATCCTGTTCGGCTTCCCATCGTTGAAGCAGGACTTCGCCCTCCTTGCTCCGCGGGTGCTGGGGGTCCCTGAGGCCGCGCTCCGCTTCATTAGCTTTCTCGATGCTGCGATGCTGGGCGCGGCCTCTGCGGGTGGGACCTTTCAGCCGCTGCAATAGGTCAGCAGTGGCATGTTTCAAGAATGCGGGTTGTCCGGGGCCGTCTATGCGTTGGCTACCTCGGCATTTCTCTACGACCTCATGCACTCCATTGACACGGCGTCAGAGGGCCTCGCGCGGGCCTGCGCTGACGACATTGGGGGAGTCTTGGTTTGCATCGCCGGCCTGAATCACGTGGAGCGCGTGACGGACGGGGCCTCCTGGATGGCGGATCTCATTCTGGCGGCTGCGAAGTGCTCTGCGGTTTCCCTCTCTGGCCCATGCAGCCCCCTGTTGGCCTCCACCGTATTCTCCATCATCGCGTCTGTGGCCCCCGAGTGGGCTTGCTTTGAGGTGGCCGCCACGCAACTCTGCTTGGGGATTGTCATGGGCCCTGGTGCAAGGCCGACGGCCTGCTGGGATGCCCCCGTCGGTCGGTAAAAGCTTCGTCTTCGGGCTCAAGGTATTGCCAAGTGTACCCGCGAGCATCCCGCGGAGATGGCTCGCTGGGAATTGGTGGTCTTAGCGCAGACTTGCCGCGTTGCTCTTGGGGCGTTCTCCGATGATGACTGGGCCCATTTGGAATCTTGGGGCGGTCCGAGAATCCCGCGCTGGGATTCGCTCTGTACTGCTACGCTGGCTGTCGCTGTTCCCCGAGCACGAGCGGCTCCTCGCGGACCTCCAGCAGTACGTCGTCGACCTCGGTGACCTCCATAGGTTGGGCATGCTGCGCTCTGACGCGGTGTGCCCGAACTTCTGGCTTTCCAAGTCGTTCGTGAAGACCTTGCACAATGCTGCGTCTGCTGCACAGCCACCTCTCGCTCTGGCTGCCGCAGATGCTGTTCGCGTGGGGCTCACTTCGGTGCTGGGCCGTCGTCCGCGGCCTCAGCGGGCTGCCCATCGCGCCCTTCTGGCCCTTCGCCGTGCTGCTTCCCCTTTGTCTACCATGCTAGTGAAGAGGCTTTCCAAGTGACTCCCACTCCACGCGGTGGCCCTCACGCAACTGGACTGGAATGCGCCTCGGTCTACTTGGCGCCGCTGCCCGTGCTCCTGGGCCCGGGCCTTCCTTACGTGCTTGGGCTGACGGATTGTTGACCTCTGCTCGCATTATACATGCGGAGGGTCTGCGTTGTTGCGCCTTTGGATGCGGCCCTCGTTTGGACTCACTACGACACTGCGCCAGGTGCCGCCCCATGCACGACGCCCTTTCGAGCCGCTCTCGCTAGACTTGTTCCTCTGCCAGTTCTCCAACGGTGGGGACTTGCTCCGCCGCCGCTTCCAGCTTGTGGGTACTTAGCGGTCGCTTACTCGATGTACCACATTCCCATGACTATCCAGCGGTGGCCCCTGGACGCGGCAGCTCGACGTTCTTGCGCACTGGCTGGTGCGCGCTCGATGCAGATGGCGCGGCCCTCGCGCGTCTCGCAGGCGGAGAGGTTCGCTCTTCGACCGAGGCGGCGCTCGCCTTCGTCGTTGCTTCCTCTTCATCAAGTTCCTCGTCGGAGTCGCCGACGCAGTCGCTGCGATGGACGCCTGTGGTGTCCTCGTCGCCCTCCACGTGCTCCGAGTCATCGGCTTCGCCCAGCTCATCATCGAGCACCTCATCTGCGTCGCCAGCGCCGTCTCCGCGTCTGACGCCCGCAGCGTCTTCATCGTCGTCGGTATGCTCTGAGCCATTGGCACATGAGGTGGCCTCTCCCGCGTTCTCTTTGCGCGTCGAGCCGCCGACCACCCCGTCGACCGCGATCGCGGCCCCTACGCGTCCTCGTTCTGTCGACGGCGACCTTCTGTCTTCTCCGCCCCCCCCGTTGCCTCCCCCTCCCGCTCTGATTGTTTCGGCCCCAGCTCGTGCCATGCCGTCGAGACGGCCATTCTCCAGTTGCCCTGTGGTGAGTGCACCGCGGGTTCGTTCTCTCCCCCCTCTCGTAGTGCCCGCCCTTTGTTTCCTCCTGACCATCACCGCCGCCCTCTTGTGCTCCCCCCCTCGTCCTTCGCTCCTGAGTGCTGCCGATGCTGATGCCTACTCCTCTCCTACCCCCTCGTCCTCACGTGCTCGAAGTGACTCACGACGAGCGGCGCCTGTGCCGCCGCGACCTCGGCCTGCTGGCCGCGGCGCACGTTCCGCCACGTCCTACACGGACATCGCTTTTTCGGCCGCAGCCAGGCCGGGACCCGCGCCGCCTCCCTACGCTCGTCTCCTCGTCCTCCTCCTCCTCCTTCTCCTCCTCATCCTCGTCCTCGCTCCTCCTCCTCCTCCTCGCTCGTCCTCCTCTGTCTCCCCCTCCTCCTCTTTCTCTTCCTCCTCCTCCTCCTCCTCCTCCTCCTCCTCCTCTTTCTCCTCCTCGCTCCTTCTCATCCTCCTCCACCTCTCCCTCCTTTTCCTCCTCCTCTCCTCCCGCCTCCTCCTCCTCCCTCTCCCTCCTCCTCTTCCCCCTCTTTCCCCCTCCTTCCCCCCGCGGCGCGGCGAGGGCGGCGCCCCGTGCGACGCGGGCATCCCGGGGGCCCCGCGCGTGGCGGCGGACGTCGGGGCGCTGCCCAAGCTGCGGGAGGCCCGCTCTCCGCTCGCCGTCGCCGTCGGCGACGTGGACGTTCTCGTCGCCGTCGCCGTCGTCGCCGCCACGGCGTCGCTGCCGTCGCCGTCGTCCATCATCGTCGTCGACGTCGTCGTCGTCGCCGCCGCCGTCGACGTCGTCGTTGTCTTAGCCGTTGTCGCCGTCGTCGTTGTCGTCGTCGTCGTCGTTGTAACCGGCGTTGTCGTCGTCGCCGCCGTCGTCCTTGCAGGTGTCGCCGTGGTCGTCGTCGTCATCGTCGTAGTCGCCGTCGTCGTCGCAGTCGCCGTCGTCGTCGTCGTCGCCGTCGTCGTGGTAGTCGTTCCCAAATCTTCGGCGATTCGACCGCAATGTTTTCCCTCGGGGCCTTCTGATGGAGGGCCCGAGAGGGGCAGACAAGAGTGCCACAGTGGGGTACGGCGAGCCCTGGACCGCGCAGCCCGGTGCAGCAGCCGGTTCGCCTGAGGCTTCCTCGCAGTTTGTTTCGCAGTCGTGCTCCCACCCCTGTCTCGGCTTCGCATTCTGCTGCTGTCAGGGTTTTTGTTCAAACCGCGGTTTGTTCGTAGATGTCGGGCCCCAGGACCATTTTACTTCGAATACTGGATGAGCAACCTCTCCCAGGGCCGCGTTGGGAACTTATCGGGGCGCGGAGGGGATGAGGAAGGAGGGGGGAGGAGGAGTGAGGAGGGGAGGAGGAGGAGGAGGAGGAGGAGGAGGAGGAAGAGGAGGAGGAGGAGGAGGAGGAGGAGGAGGAGGAGGAGGAAGGCTGGGTCCGCTTCTGGAAGTGTAATTTTTCGTTGGCGAGCTGATGAAATCGCCGTTGCTGGCCAGCCGCTTCGAAGTCTCTCGTCTTCCCCCTCCCCATCGCATATCCCAGGGTTGGGCATTAAAGTTTCGGCTCATTCGAAAACCCCAGAGATCTGGACCCCTTCCCTGGTGTCAGTTTTCGATACCGAGCCATTATTCGATTGTCCGGTGGCCCGGCAAGGGCCCCAGGAGGCCAAAAAATAGCGAAAAGCTTCCCGTCGTGATTATTTCACAACGCGAGGGGGTCGGGGCCCTCCTCGTCCTTCCCTCCTCCCCTTCCGCCCAGGGACGCCCGAGTGTGCCCCCTTGACTCGTCGAGAACAACCTCTAACCTTCATGGCACGACAATGCCGTGGCCTTCACTTGGGCCCCCGTCTTCGCACTGCCAGGGAGAAGTGCCGTCATTTCTCGGGAATTCCCCCGCGGGGGGCGAGGGCCCCCTCGGGTGCGGCGAGCCCCCCTCCCCCGGCCACGACGTCGGCCATCGCGCGGGCCCCGGTCCCCCAGAAGGCCCGGCCCAGGAGCGCTCCTGGCCCCCCGCAACGCAACACGAGGGCGCTCCTCCTCCTCCTCCTCCTCCTCCTCCTCCTCCTCCGCCTCCTCCTCCTCCTCCTCCTCCTCCTCTTCCCCCGCAATCACACAATATGAACACTACTCTCCTCTCTCCCCTTGCGGCGTCTGGGAAATGTCTGGCCCCCCTCCGCGTACTGGCTTTTTGCGCACAGGATTCCCGGGAGTTGGGTTTTCGGGTCTCAATGCTCTCGCTGAAGCGCTGGCCTCATTTTCGGTCTACCGCTCATTCCGAATCGTGCTCCTGGTGCAGCGCTGGTCTCATTTCCACGCTTCCGTTCGTTCCGAATCGAGCTCCCGCTGCAGTGTTGGCGTGATAATTTCCAGTGCCGTGCCATGGTATGCTTTTTCGGATCTTCCAAGTAGGCCCCAAAATCTAGAAAATGACCAGACGAAATACCTATCGGAAGTCACTACACATTCGGTGTCGATTCGTTGATGCTCTGGTCCGCAGACCCCCCCGCACTTTTGGGGCGTCGCCACGTCATGCTATGTGCTATGTCATGCTACGCGCTGATTTTCAACACCATGTTATGCCATGGAATACTATGCCACGTTGCGACATCCGATGGTGCGAATAAAGAGAGGATATCTAAGTCATGATAAAGGGATTGAGGGTTTGGACATCATATATGACGCGAGCGCATCTAGCTTGTCTCCTCCTCCTCCCCATCCTCCCCCTCCTCCTCCTCCTCCTCCTCCTCCCCCTCCCCCTCCTCCTCCTCCTCCTCCTCCTCCTCGTCCTCCTCCTCCTCCTCCTCCTCCTCCTCCTCTCCTCTCCTCCTCCTCCTCCTCCTCCTCCTCCTCCTCCTCCCTCCCTCCTCCCCCTCATCCTCCTCCCCCCCCTCTTCCCCCTCCTCCCCTCCTCCTCCTCTTCCTCCTCCTTCCCCTCCGCCTCCTCCTCCCTCCTCCTCCTCCCCTTCCTCCTCCTCCTCCTTCTCCTCCTCCTCCTCCTCCTCCTCTCCTCCTCCTCCCTCTACCTATTCAGGACTGTCTCGCGGAGCGACCCCTGCCGCACCGCTCCCCCCGCCGCCGCCTCGCCCCCTCCACGGCAGCGGCCACCTGGCGGTCGTGGTCGTCGTCGTGGTCGTGGTCGTCGTCGTCGTCGCCGTCGCCGTCGCCGTCGTCTTTTGCCGATCAGCGCGGGCCCTCGCACCCACCCACCCCCATGGAGTAGATCTTGGCTGTGTTTGGCGCCTGCTTCAATCTGGTTGAGTCTCGCCCATAGGACGCGCTGTTGCAAACAGCCGCGTCAAGCACAGGCCTGGAGCCAGACCCCCCCCCCACCTTTTTCTCGTTCAATGTCGAAACGCCGAATAAGATCACGTTCGCCATGCAAATAGTTTTTTCCAGAATCGGCGGGCTTGAAGGGGTATCGGGCGCCGCGGCCGTTTCAGAGCGTTCCGGAACGCTCTGTGATCGTCTCGGAAACGCTCTGGAATGGACTTAGCTCGATTCAAGGCCTGTCTGACGTTGCTCGGGGGCGAATCCGGGGGGAAGTGAGAAGGGGCGGGACTTCTCAGAAGTGAGTAGTTTTCCAAACCTTCCCCGAGGACGCAGAAAACCATTCAGAAGGCCTTCTGAGAAGCCCCGCCGCTTTCTGAGAAGGCCTTCTCCTTCTCGATTCCCTCGCTCGCCATCGACACAAGTGTGATGAGCGTGCCAGACTCTCTGGCTCCCTCCATCCCTCATCTTTCTCGTCTCCTCCATGTGTTACGTTGCATCTTCGAGGGCTCGATGCGGACTCGACGCGGACTAGGAGTGGATTCGTGGCAGATCCGACGCGCTTTCGACACGGATGCAACGAGTCCGACCTGGATTCGACACGAATTCGACGCGGACAGGGCCGCGACGGGACACACAAGGTCTCCCGAAGGTGCAACACAGCATGTGCTGCCCAGATCCCAATCTACTTCAAGGCACCCTCCTACTTCGACAGCCGAGCGGCTGTGCCGTTGTCCCTCCGCCTTTGGTGGCCGCCGGGCGCAGACCCAAGCTAAGTACATCTCAGCGCTTTCCTGCGTCCTGTTTCGGCCCACCTCTTCCGACCGGCGGGTGCATGTGTGGGGAGCGCGCTAGACTCCTACGCTCCCTCCATCTAGGCCTTCTGGATGGGTCGGAGGATCGCGCCGCACCGCCGATGCGTCTGCGATGCGGCTCGATGCGGAGCCCGATGTTCTGCGCGCCGACGTCGCCGATGCGTCGCCGACGTCGGCGATGCATCGCCGATGCGTCAGCGATGCGGCGCGATCCTCCGACCACATCTGGTCCGACCCCATCTGCCCCAAGGTGCCCCCCCTCCCCGCGGCGGCGCCCTGGCGAGGCGCCCCCGCTGGAGCGGCCAGAGCTCTTCCGCAGGAAGATGGAGGCCCGTCCGGGTGGCCCTAGTCGTCGTCGTCGTCGTCGTCGTCGTCGTCGTCGTCGTCGTCGTCGTCGTCGGCGTCGGCGTCGGCGTCGGCGTCGGCGTCGGCGTCGGCGTCGGCGTCGGCGTCGGCGTCGGCGTCGGCGTCGTCGTCGTCGTCGTCGGACGGCGTCGGCGCTCCAGTTTATTTGATAAATGGGCCCCTGGAAGCCTGGGCCACTTCCCTGGGGCGTGTTTTTCGTCCTGGGTCGCGTTTGTTGATATGGATTGTCTCCTGGCCTTTTTCAGCCCCCATGCAGCGCTCCGATTCTCTTGGATGCATTGGCCCTCGGAAGTCTGGACCACCTTCCCGGTGCATGTTTGTCGTCCTGGGTCGTTCTTGTCGACGGCCTTGTGGCCCTCCGAGGACCCAGAGAAGCCGCGCTCCCCATTCGTGGGAGCCTCGGATCTCTGCCTCGACCTCCTCCTGCCTCTCTCCGCCCCTCCGCTCCTGCTCCCCAGCCCGCGTCTCGCACGCGCTACCTCGCCTCCTCCCCATCCTCTCGCGTCTCGCACTCCTCGCACGCACTACCCGCGTCTCGCACGCACTACCTCCTCGCCTCGCACTCCTCCTCCACCACCGCCCCGCCGCCGCTGCTGTTCCGGCGCCTCTCCCGGTCCTCCTCCTGCTCGCCTCGCTCCTGCTCGCCCAGATCGCGCCCCCTCGCTCCTTCCGCCTCGGCCTCGCCTCCCTCGTCCCCTCCTTTCCTCAGGAGGGAGAGAAACACACAGACACAATTCATCGGCGATTCCCCAGAAAATGTGGGACAACATGGGAAGTGGGGGGGAGACAAAAACCCAGAAAAGTTGGGAACATGTAGGGAATTCTTTTATTCGTGTGTTTTTGTTTGTGTGTCCCAGGGCCCGTTCACTCTTCCTCCTCAGCCTCGCCTCCCTGGTCCCCTCCTCTCCTTCCACCCCCATTCCGCGATACACAACTCGTCCCTGTCGCACCTCCAGACGTATCAGTTGGGCGGGCCGGGCATTTCACGTGAGACTTGCTCGCCATCTCTGATCCCGGAGCTTGAGCAAAGTTTGCATCACTTCCATTTAGCGGACGGCAGCTCATTTTCTAATTGTGGTTCTCGCCTTAGCGCTAAATCGGTCCTGTCCCTCTACAGGGGGATGATTCAAAAATAGTCAAAAAATAGTATGGGGATTTTTTGGGTGTATTGTTTGACCATGTTGGAGTATTTTTGAGTATTTTTCATTTTCGTCGAAAATCCCCCTGCAGGGGGACATGCCCGACTTAACCTTAGCGCTAGGTTCCTGCCTCGTAGGATATGCCAGCAGCTCCACCCACGGGTGGAGGGCAGGTCGGTTTCATTATGTGGCATTCGCCTCAGCGCCGAGCACACTCCTTTGAAATTTGTGCGGCAACTTCAAGGATTATCATGCTCCAACCTACTTCAGCCTTGACCACCAGAAAGAATTCGAGCACAAAAAAAAACGAAATTCAAGGGTTTTCACGTGTCGAACCCTGAGAGACCCTCCCCCGACACTGTTTCGATACTTGTTCGACACTTTTCTGTGTGCTCGAAATTATTTCTGGGACGTGGTCCTTAAGGGCGATGGGTGCAACAGAATTCAAGGATGGAGGGCGGTTCCATTTCACATTGTAGCTCTCGCTCAAGCGCCGAGCACATTCCCTTCAAAACTTAGCAGCAAATTCCATGATTCGTGCGGTCAAAGACACAGCAATGGTGTTCTGGCACGGTTCAGGCTCACCATGACGGATCGGGCATTTCATTCGCGGCGTTGCAGTCCCAGGAGTGGCGTTTTGGTGCGCTTTAGGACTGTCAGGGCGCAACAGTCGCACGGGTCCACGGCGTTGAAGCCCCAGGAACGGTGCTTTGGCACGATTGGAGATTCGCAGGCCGATGTCTTCCAATGGGGCACTTCCCGCAATGAATACAAATTATTGTAGGAACCTTTGGAGAGGGAGCTTGGAGGGAAAGTTTATTGCAACAGCGTTGGCGCGTCTTAGATTTGCACTGGTCCGAGGGAGGAATACGATAATGAGGAGGAATGGGGGAAGAGTTGAATGGCAGATTCGGGCAGTCATGATTGAAGACCTCAAGGGCACCTTGCAACCCCGCTCCAGGTACCAGATTATGCAGGAGTGGGAAGGGCGTTCTGCTATGGACGCCCTGTTAAATGACGTGTTGCGCGGGTGCGTCTCACCGAGTGATCGGTAAATGGTAAATGGACAGGGGATAGGACGAGGAGGATTAGTAATATACATATTTTGGGCATCGGAGAGGGAGAAGACAGGATCCAGTGGAACAGAGAGTCAAGGCGGACACATTCTGCCCCCCTTCTCACCTTCTCACCTTGTACAAGAGGGGGTGCAATAAGTATAGGGGCGGGAAACATGAAGGGAGGGGGCGCATGATGAGGAAGGCCAGAAATAGAAATACGAAGGCGAGGCCTCGGCCGAGTAGCAGGGCAATGTGGAGGAGCAGCAAATAGGGCAACGGGGGGATGGCGAGGAGGGCGAGAGGTACCCTGCCGGACGAGTACGGGTCTTAGACGATCGACGCCCAAGCGATCGAGCCACGGGAACACGGGCCGAACGGAGTGCTGGGAGGGAGGGGGGCTACATGCAACGATGCGGGGCAGGCCCAGAGCATATGGTTTCCAATTTTGCCCTAAAGTGGAGGCAGTACCATCTCTGGAACGGGCAATTGCGGGACCTCCTGGCTTGGCATCGCTCGGACGTGTGCATTTTCCCTCCGGCGAGGACCATCGAGGAGTATCCTTGATCACTTAGCAAAAAAACCACGCACGAAACCGAAAAAAGCACAGGAAATGGACGTCCGAGCGATGGCAAGCTGGATGGACCTCCCATTCTTGTTTGCTCGCACCCGTCTGGTATACGTGGGGGGCGCAGGTACAGCAGCCAACCTCGACAGGTCGACCATTGTGCGGGGGGGAGGGCGGGCAGGCCAAGTTTACAAGTAGTGCAAGCACCACTTTGCCTCGAAGTGCTGTTACAGGTAAAACGAACACCTGTTCACCCCTCTGGTACGACATGCGGCTTCTGCAGGTAGAGCGAGCTAGTCGCTGTTTACCGCAGTCCCCCCCATGGAGTAGATCTTGACTGTTTTTTGGCGCCTGTTTCGAGCGGGTGGAGTCTCCCCCAGAGGCAGCACTTTTGCAAACAGCCGCACTAAGCAGAGGAGAGGTCTGGAGCCAGATCCCCCCCTCCCTCCCCCCTCTCCGCCCAGCGTCGAAACACCGGATCAACAAAAAAAACACGCTCACCATCCCTGTTGTCTCCCGGCGGGCACTTCAGGGGAAGTGCGTTTCCACGGGTGCAGGCCCCAGCTGGTTGCCCGGGCGCCGCGGCCTCCCTGCTTGCCCCGGGCGGGCATGGTGGTGGCGCACCCCCGGGCGCGCCCCACCCTTTGACGAACGATGAATTCGTACCCATACCCATAGGGGTGCGTGTTGTCGGATGGGGGTCCCCGCTCGAACGGGAGCCTCCCCAGGGGTCCGACAACTCGCACCCATACCCATAGCCAGTATTCCTCCCTCCGACCTCCCCATGGGTATGGATGGTGTCTTGTTCGTTCGTCACCCCTGCGCACCGGGCCGGTGTACCACGGTCGCTCGCGCCATTCCCCCAGGAGTGGCGGCCTATAGGCAAGCAGGCGATGTCCGCCCCGCGCCCTCGAGCAGCAGGTGGCTGTCGCCGGGGAGGAGGCAACGGAGGAGAGGCAGGGCGAGGAGGCGGACAGGGTTATGTCGGGCGTGTCCCCTCCCAAAAAATGCCCCAAAAAGGTCAACAAATACTACAACAATAGTCCGCCGACTATTTTTGGATATTTTTTTTGTTTTTTTTGTTTTTTTGGTTTCGTCGAAAATCCCCCTGTAGGGGGACAGGCCCGACTTAAGGACAGGGCGAGGCCAGGGAGGAGGAAACATGATGAACACGATACGATCATCGGGTGAGGTGTTGAGGACGGGCCCAGGGTTCAAGCAGTGGCGAAGCGTCCTGGCTCGCCTATAGCCCCACCTTAGAATGTTATATCTGTAAGAACCTTTTGTGGTTTCCACGAAATGTTCTTAGAACATTTCTGGCGGAGTCCGTCCTGTTTTAACACATCGGGCTTATGGTATAAGAACATTGGTTTGTTCTTAGAACACTTCTGGGTTCTATGCGGAATGGCGGAGCCCCTTGATTCATTTTCTTGAGCCAAGCGGTTTCGGTAACAACAATCTCAGCTCGAAACCTGTGAAACCCTGCAGCCCTCCTCGAGGCCGCTGTGCACGCTGGCGGGCTCGTCAGCCCACCATCTCAAATTACATCAGTAATTAAAACAGTGCTAGCCGAAACCCGTTCGGTTCCGTCTCGTGTAAAGAAACAGCCATGGCAAAGGAAACCTTCATTCACGTGATATCGGCCTCTATCTCGTTCTCTCTCTCTCGCGCGTTACGACCTCGGGAGGTGATCAATCTCCGTCGTATATCTTCTGAACAAGCCAGCATTGCTCAACACAGACGGTTTCTCGTACTGGTTGTCCAGGGTGCGTGCATTCACTGAAACCAAGCTCCCCAATATTGAGTACTCAACGGCGTATACCGACCATCAGCCTCATAATGTAGCTTGCTCCTGCTCTTGTAGGTCACTGGCCCTTGGACCTCAACTGACCTCATCTTCTTGAACTGCACCTCTGCCTCTGGCGAAGCATCTCTCCTGCGTCGCCTCGACGGTGATCGTTCATCTGACCCTGACCTCGGGTCCTGAAGGTTACACCTCGGGTCCTGAAGGAACCCACAACCCTCTTCGTTTCGTACATGTCGAAATGGCGTGGACCACAACCCAAAGGCACCTCGTGTCTCTAAAGATTGACCCACAACCCTGTCCTGCTTCGCCTTTACCACAAGCACGTAGTAACTGAAAACCACTGCCACAATCGTAACCACCAAGTGTGAAGCGAAACTCCACCAGTTGAACTCGCTCTTCATGTTCACATTGATTCTGAAACCATCCTCGTAGTAGTAGTCGTCAGTCGCGTCTGCTCCCGAACTGACCGTCATTACCGCCAAAACCTTCGTGAGCACCTCTGGGTCCTTGAAACTCGTCGCCTTGATTGAAATCAAACCCAGCGTCTTCATGTGTCTCCTGAGCGTGTCCTTGTCCATCGGCTTCGTTCCTATGTCCGCCACCTGGTCCTTCGCATTGACTTTCACCACCTCCATGTCTCCGTCTCGTACCAGATCTTGATGCCAGATCCACCGCGTCTGTAGATGTCGTACTCGTCCTACTCCGCGTCTGTGGATCATGCCCTTCGCCGCTGCTGAGTCCGTCTCCAACTCCAGAGTGATCTTGACCTCCTCGTTCCTCATCTGCGCCATTTACTGCAACACGTGCTTGATGGTGAGACCTCTGGCTGTGCCCGAACCCATCGCGTAGAACTCCGACTCCCCACTTGAGAGCGCCACCGTCGCCTGAGATAGTACCAAGCTCTCCAGTAGATGAGCTCCGAATCGAACTCCACCTGATGAAATACTCTTGCATGTCGCCTCCTGTCCAGCCCAGTCCGCATCCACCGACACCGTCACTTTGAACGTCTCCTGCTGATACGGGTAGAATATCACGATTTCGGCCGTGCCCTTCAGATACCTGACCAGACGCTTCTGCTTGAGTATGTGCCTCACCCGCGGGTCGTTGCACGAACAACTCTGATCTCGAACTGCTTCCTGAATATCCCAACGATCCCCAGCCATATACTGTGCGATGCCACCGCAACTCCTGTACAACGTAGAGCTCTGTCGTCCTACTCGGTCTTCAGCTTCTCGAACTCCCTTGGCAGTGTGCTTCGAACTCGGTGTCTCTGCCGGCTTGGCCTGCTTCAGCTCGTACAATTCCACCATCTTCAAGATCAGCTTCGGGTCTGGTAGAATGCCGAAGCCCTCCTCGCCCCAGAGCACCGTCCTGTTGAGAAAAGTACCTTCAGTTGCTCCTCCTGGTCCCACTCTCGGTTGAGGCTTGACCTTGAACCTGTTGGCCATGAGCTTGTCGAACTCGTCCAGCTCCTCGTCGTACGCCTCCACCACAAAGTCATCTCCATGTCCAGCACAGAGAGAGTCCCTGCCAGGATGGTAGTACAGGCAGCACACCGTCTTCAACTCCTCGCACCCGTTCTGGCTGAAGTTATCTCGAACTTCTCCTTGAAATAACATCGACGCCTCTGGCGTCCCATACATCGCCTTCTGCAACTTCCAAAGCATCCCTGGTCGTCGCTGTTCAGGTGGTGGCCAGCAGTATTGTGGCTCCTTCAGCGACGCGTGAAAGAACGCCACTGAGATGTCGTATAGACCAAGCGTCTTCCTCCTCGACTCGGTCGTCCTCGTTGAAGCTGCTCTCGAAATCACCAGCTTAACTGCCCATAGTGCGGGCGTCCCTGCGAAATTTGAGGGGTCGGTTCCGTCGCTATACCTTCTGTGAACACATCGGCTCCTCACGATCCATTCGTTGTTCTGTAAGTCGTACTTCTTGCTGTCGATCCACTTGGTGTCGAACGGCTACATCCAGTCCTCAAGCGGTACCCACTCAAAGACCTCAAACTCCCCTATGCACTCCATCTCCTTCGTCCTGCCGTTGATGACCAGCTCCTTCAACAACTCCTTGCCTGTGCACGCGTCTCTGTAGACTCCGTCACCCACCAGCTTGTCGTAATTCACCCTCGGCTCCAACTCCTCGCAGACGTGGCGGTCCCCATCCTTCGTGATCGACATGATGATGCCTATCTCCATCGCCTCTTCCCGTCCTGGCGTAGTAGGTGCCACGTCTCCTCCAGCTACGATCGCGTTGCCCGTCATCTCCGCGTCCTGCTCGATCTGTAGCTCCCGTCCGAAGTGATGACCAACCTGTGTACCTGGAGCTCGCTGACCTGCTTCTTCAAGTCGTGGTTCTGCTACTCTAACATTTTCTGGTGGTGGCTGTGCTGCAGGAGCTGCCGCTGGTGCTGCTGCAGGTTGCGCTTGTCCTGGTTGATCTCCTGATGCCATCTCGATCCTCGGCTCGGCCTCCTCGAAGATCTTGGCGAACCTCGTCCTGCACCTCGCGTTGTGTATGGATGAGTTCCCTTCGCATGCTGCACGCCCATCTGATGCCCATACTCCTCGATCAGCGCCTTCGTGATGTACTTCCGTCTCCTGACCACCTCATTCTGATCTTTCACCTCCAAGCCCCTGGGATTCCACGGCACTCCTATGACCGTGTTGTAGACTTCCTTGTTGTACTTGTCCTCCGTGGCCTTGAGCTTCATCGTCCTGGCGTGCTCGATCCCTCTCGACGTGCCTACGATGATTTCGTCGCTCTCGTCGCGCCTGCCCAAGAAGATACCTTCGCCCCACCTCGGTTCCTGCTTGGAGTAGTCCTTAGCCTGTATCTTGTAGTCGATCGTCTCTCCGATCGTCCCGAGCTCTGACTTGAACTTCGCGCGTCCCAGTCGTCCCCAAGCTGTCCTGCCATCCGTCTTGATAGCGAACCTGGTGGGCAAGTACCCCACGTGCCTAACCAACCACGGCATGATCAAACTCTTGGGTCCGATCTTCACCTCCAACTTCACCTCCAGCTCGCTGTGTAGTGTACGTAGTAACGACTCCACTCTCCCCACCGCGTTCTCAATCGCACCGCTGCTCTGATGAGAACCTTTAGGAGCCATCTCCACCTGCGTGCTGTGCTTCCTCTTGTTCTTCACCGCCGTGATCACCGCTTGTAGCGATGGCTCCTGGTAGAGTGCCCCCCAAACGTCCAAGTAGAACTCCACCGCTGAGTTTACGTACTCGCTGGGCCCCTTGTGGATCACCATGAAGGAAGCACTTGCGTCCTCAGGCTTCTGCACCATCACCAGGATGTTGACAATCTCCGTCTCCAGCTCGGTGTTCACGAAGCAGTAGTCCATGCTAATGACTGGAATCGTCGGCGCCTCTGGGTTAGCCTTCTCGTGACCATCTTCCTTGCCCCGGCCCCAAAGACACTACTTGCACCAGTCCCGATACGGCATGTGCGTCTTCTCGTGGATGGCTATCTCCTCCGCTGTGGGCGTGTACCTCTCCTTCTTGACCTTCGGCGGTCGCGCCTCGTCTGTCTCGATCTCCGCTTCCTGCTCCGCCAGCTGCTGAGCGTGCTCAGGTTCATCACCTTCTAGAGGGCAGAGCGTGCTCGCGTCCACGTCGAAGCTGTAGATCCCACGCCTCTTCGAGATCCTCAGTGGTCTGTTCATCTGGCTGTTCGCGTTCTCGTACTCGATCATCTCCTTGAACCGCTGGCTGACCTTCGGATTGACCACTGCTCCACCGCCTTCGTCGAACCATGCACCTTGAGCTCCCTTCGTCAGGTCGCGAACCGCAATGATCGTCTTGTGAACGTCTCGCACATCGAACTGTCCTCTAACTGGTTGTCGAGCCCCAGCCACCTGCATTTGCGCCGTCTGGCGGCCGTTCGCGTAGATCTTAGTACCATCTGCCTGTCGTAGTGGCGGTGCGCCCGCTTCTTCTCGCGGTATTCTTGGTGCGAAACCAGGTGGGCAAACACTCCGTGCCGCACATGAATCAACCATCACCTCGATCTTACCGTCGTTGTCATTCTCGAACTCTATCGGAATCAGATAGCTCTCGTCATTCTCGTTGAATTTGTGATTGGGCTCCTTCTTGCTATCTAGATTCACAGTGTATCAATCTACCTCCGTGTGGTCTAAACCAGAAATATGATCTAGCTCCTCAGTCCCGTTCTCATCCAGCATGAAGGTGTAGCCCTCCTCGGCGTCGTAATCGTAACCTAAGTACTTCATGTATTGATCCTTGGGCTTGTCGGGCGCAGGTGTGTTTTTCGTCTTGTCGCTCTTGTCCTTACCCTTGCCCTTGCCCTTGCTGGTCTTTCGCAGGTCCTCCTTCGTGATCTGTCCGTCCTTCATGTCCTGCGTGGCCTTCCTGCACTCCATGAGCTTGTGACCTTTCTTGCCGCAATGCCTGCAAGGCTGCGTCGCGCTCTGGTCGTAGCCCTTGCCGTTGTTCTTGTCCTTGCCGCACCTGCCCTTCGAGTCTTTGCCGAACTTGCCGAACGTGAGCGCATCCAGATCCATAGGCGCAGGTCCACTTAGTGCCATCGCCGCCTGCTTCGACCTCAAGTAGTTCAACACCTCAGCTCGTACCAACGCGTATGTCGTGAGCCTCGTCGCATTCAGCATGAGATGTTCTCGAAGCTTTGACGGCGCCAGTCGCGTACTGAGAACAGACTTCTTAATCGACTCCCTGACTTTCTCGCCTGTCTGCTCTTCGTAGCTCTGAACCAACGCCTCCCAAGACGCGATGCCCTTGATCGGATCGTTCTCCTGCACATTCGGATACAGTGTCGAGTCCAGCATACCTGAGAAACTCGACGGCACCTTCGGCTCGAACTCCAAACACAGCAGTCGCCAGGCTTCCAGGCCTTCTCCTGAGGGAACGCTCTTCACGATGCCCTCAGCCTTGTCCTTACACGTCAGTACAAGGATGTAGTACAGGTTGGTGTTGACTCGCTGGGCCTCTTCGTCTAGATCTTCGTGTGCGAAAGCCTCCGCGTCGACCTTCGCAGCGTCCCGCATCAACTCCGCCATGTGAGGGTCCACCGCCATGCAGTAGGCCGCCAGAACGAAACTCCAGTTCTCCCACGTGACGCCGTCCTTGTACTTCGCAATATCATCGAGCTCACCTGAGAACTTATCTGGCTTTCCGAGCAGCTTCGTGTCGACGAGTGACTCCGCTCTCTGTTGATATGGTCGGCCGTCTGCTGCTACTTCTGCTGCTGCTGCTCGCTGATTCGCATCTCGAAGTTGTTGCTCCAACCTCGCTATCTGATCTCCCTGCTGAACCACGACGCCTTCCATGGCCACGATCCTATTCAGAACCTCCTCCGCTGTTGCCATCGCTGCGCGAGAAACGAGAAACTGGGAGCCTGGCCGTGGGCATTCGACCAGGCTCCGCTACCATGCGGAATGGCGGAGCCCCTGGATTCCTTTTCTTGAGCCAAGCGGTTTCGGCAACAACAATCTCAGCTCGAAACCTGTGAAACCCTGCATTCTAAGAACATTTCGTGGTAGGACTATAGGAACGCCTTGACGGTTGGTCCCTGCTCAAAGGGTGGGAGGGGGACGAGGATATCACCGCTCCCTTTAGCGGTCAAGCCACGCGCGTTGGGTCGTGCGTTCTGCGTGCCATTTCGGACCCGCTTCTGCACGTCGCTGGCGCGTGCTCGCTGTTTCCTGGTCCACCACCCCCGCTCCCTCCCCCTTCCTTCCTTTCCCGCCGTTTTCGGCGCTTCCGCCTTCTCTTCCTTCACTCCCCTCCGTTGCAATGTTGGTTCGCCCCCAATTGCGGCACGCGGCACGCGGCCGATGTCGGCGTTCTTTGCGGCGCGAAGGACGGCCAGGCGGTCCGCACTACGCAGGTCCAGCGCCGTGTTCGAGTCGGGCCGTTTCAGATAGATCGCGCTGCGGGCCTTTTGCAGGTGATCGGTTTCGAGTGTCACTGCAGGAACACAAGCGTGCTGGACTAATCGAGGATGACGATTAATAAATGACCGGGGGTCGTGTTCACGCGGCGGCGCCCGGGATGAGATTAGGAAAAACCGGCCGCGGGCTGGAAAACTATTTTTTTAATCGTCTTCCTCCAGTCAGAAACTTGTGCAGAAATAGCAGAAAACTATGTTTTAATCGTTCTCTCCCATTTTTATCAATCGTCATCCCGCATTAGTTGTCAGCGCTGGCTGCGCTTGGAGTGCGTGGCTGATCGGCGCCACGCCAGCGGACCATGTCCAACTGCGGCTAAGGCAAAGTCACAATTCCTTGCGGCCTGCGCCCGCAAGGTGTTTGGGCGAATAGCCAACAACGGCACAATAAACGAGTTGTGTTCCCCGACGAAGCTCGGTGTTCGCTCTTCATCGAAAGGGTGCGGTCGTTGTCCAGCTTCCGCCTCCAAGGGAAGACGAGAGGGAGGAGGGGGAGTGGGGGAGGGGGAAGAACGGGATAAACAGTGAGGATGAGGATGGGCGGAGGATGGAGGGAACAGTCACAACAAACATCCAGAGGAATAGCGGAACAAAAGAAGGTGAATGAATCAGAATGAAGAGGAGGGGAAGGAGGAGGAGGAGAAGGAAGAGGAGGAGGAGGAAGTGTACCCAGCATTAGGAGGAGGTGCAGGAGGAAAGAGGACGGTGGGGAGGGCGCTTTCTCATGGGCTTCCTGGGGATGGGGGGGTCGGGGAGGGCGGGGTGGGCGGGCCTCAGAGGCCTGTTCCGCCGCACTGGACTTCGGCCAGGACACGGCCCAGCGCGAGAAGGAGGCCCCCCGGTCGTCGTCGTCGTTGATTCTCGTTCGTTCGGCGTCGTCCTGGCCGTCGTCCTCGTCCTTTTGTCGCCGTTCCCACCGTTTATTGTTGCTGTTTTGCTTGACGTCGCCGTTCGTGGTTCGTCGTTCGTCGTTCGCCCTGCGCTGTCGCCGCGCGCTGGTCCAAAGGCTGTGGTCAACACAGCCCCTGGCCCAGCCTCCAACGTTACAGCGGGTCGGGGCTCAGGCAGCCCGAGGTTTTCGGGGTCGCCCGAGAGTTTCGGATGGCTTCGTCGGCACAGCTTCCCTGGTACGCCTGTGTTGAAACGCAGCACGTGCGGTGCTCAAGACCTGTGTTTTAGCACGCTGCGTGTTGGCTCGGCACGTGATGGTCCACGCTTTGGCGAACGTATCTGGCCAGACCTATGTTTTCAGCCCACGTTGAGCTCCGTCTCAGTACTCTACGTGTTGCTTGTTGCATATAGGGACAGTTGAGTTCGTCGGTTCCTTTTGAGGGGTCCTGCCTCGGGGTGCTTCCACATGTTCTACGGTGTAGTCTTGGTTCAGACACGGGGTTGTTGTTGCACCGTTGCTCGTTGTGGCCTCTTTCGGGCCCGGACGCATCAAATAATGCACCGTCTCCTTTGGAGATTCGGTCCAGCTTTCTGGGGCCGCGGATATCTATACACATGTGTATATATATATATATATATATACATATATATATATATATATATATATATTTCCCCGTGCACGACGCCAGGGCGCCCAGGGCGGCTGCCCCGAGGGGGCATGGGAGTACCGGGTCTCATTTTCCGTGTGTTTTTGCAGGGTTTCCGCGTCCTGGGCCTCGGAGGCCGCCGCCTCCGACCCCCCGTGGGAGGACGGGGCGGCCGGGGAGGTCCAAAATAGTCCAGGAGGGAGGGCCTCCAGAGGCTCCCAAGACGGCCCAAGCGGGCCCCGAGTCGCCGAAAGACCGCTCCAGGACGCCCAAGATAGGCCCAAGACGGCCCGAGAGGCCCCCCAAGGCACTCCACGACGCTTCAAGACGCCTCTCCAGAGCGCTTCACGAGGCCGAAATCGTCAATTGTACGAATGTTTCCGAACGATTTTGGCCTTCCAGCCTTTTCGGCTGTCCGATGTTCCAAGACGGCTCAATAGGCCCCCAAGAGCGCTCCATGACGGCCCAAGAGGGCCCCAAGACGGCCCCAGAGTCGCCCAAGACAGCCCAACAGAGCCCCAAGACGGCCCCAAGATGCGCCCAAGAGGGGGACCACGACTCCAAAATTCGACCCTCCCGCTTGAAGAGTGCCCCAGGAGGCCCCAAGGAGCTCCCAAGAGGCCCCAGGAGGCCCCCAAGAGGCACCCAGGAGGCCCAAACGAGGCCTAAAGAGGCCACAAAACAGCCCCGAGGAGGCCCCACAACGGTCCCAAAACGGCTACCGAGAAGTTGCGAAATTGCCTTCACGACGTCCCCGACAGGCCAACCACGAGATCCAAACCAACACCCATGAGGCCTCTGACCCACCACCCGGGGCACTGTGGCGGAAGCAGTGACAGCACTTGTGCACAGCATGTTCCGGCGGGAGCCTTCCAGAACACGCTGAAGGAGGAGGAGGAAGATCAGGAGGAGAGAGAATTCTGAGAGAACTGGAGTGGGAGGAGGAGGAGGGGGACGAGGAGGAGGAAGAGGCCTCCAAGACAGCTCCAAGATAGCCGAAGAGGCTTCCAAGAGGGCCCTGGGCGGCCCACGAGGGCCCCAAGGCGGTGCCTGAGGCGCCCAAGAAGGCCCGAGAGGGCCCCAAGACGGCCCCAAGAGAGGCCCAAGAAGGGAAACACGAACTGAGAATCCGAGCTTTCTACCCCGAGAGGTTCTCGGGAAGTCCCAAGAGGCCCCCAATCGGATCCAAGAGGCCCCCAAGAAGCTCCCAAGAGGGCCGACGAGGTTCCAAGAGATCTCCAAAAGTGGCCCCAAGAGGCACAACTCATAGTTTTACGATTGGGCTTTGACGGGTTTTATTTTTGTTCGGCCTTTTGGCATCCCGATGCTCCAAGACGGCCCAAGAGGCTTCCAATACCGCTCCAACGCTCCAATATAGAGGAAGAGGCCTCCAAGAGGGCCCCAAGACAGCCCGCGAGGGCCCCAAGACGGTGCTTGAGGCGCCAAAGACGGCCCGAGAGGGCCCCAAGAGCCCCAAGAGAGGCCCAAGAAGGGGAACGCGACCCAACAGCAGAGCGTTCCCCCCAAAAGGCCCACAGGAGGCCGCAAGAGGACCCCAAAAGCTTCACGAGGGCCCAAAAGTCCCCTAGAAGACGTCCAAGAGGTTTAAAATAGCCCAAGAGTGCCCTCGATGCGTCAAAACTGCTTCCAGGAGGCCCCGGGAGGCTTCCGGATTACCTCAATCTGGCCGCAGGTGGCCTCAAGTCGGGCCTCCACGCAGCCAAGACGGCCAATGACGGCTTCAGATTGCAGAACCGATGCCCCCAAGGGACCCTCAGACGCCCCCCCAAGAGGCACCCAAGAGGTACCTCCAACAGCCAGTTGACGAAGCATGCGGAACACCCCAGAAGCTCCTCAGATGCCGTGGCGCGCCTGTGCTTGATAGCGTTGTCCAAGATCGTCCAGCGCCCCCCTGGCCTGGGCTAGAACCTGAGCGCGCGCGAAGCGCGCGCGCGATGGTTCTAGTGTGTGTATATATATATATATAGAAATAGATTTAGACACATCTATACATGTGCATGTATACAGATCTACCTACACTTAGTGCGGAGTGTATTGGCATTTCAGAAGATTCGCCTTGCCGAGAGCGTTCCAGGGGTTCCCGGATCGTCCGGAACGGCCGCCGGATGTTTGCGTCATAATCCGCAGGCGTCGAGGAGGGGTGTGGTGAGGACTAGGGGGTGGTGACGAACCCACATCCTTTCGTGGCTCTCTTCCTTAGCGCTGCACCGCTTGGGGGGGGAGTGGTTCCTCCCTCCTGCCCCTGCTGCTCATCACTTTGCCCCACTCATCCGTCCCTCCTCGCCCCCCTCTTTTCCCCTCTCCTCCCTCCCTCCTCCGCCCCGCCCTCCCTCCTCGGAGAGGACTCCCTCCTCCCCTCTCCTCCCTCCTTCCCCTCTCCTCCCTCCCCCTCTCGGAGAGGACTCCCAAGGGGGGGAGTGAGGGCGGGGGGCGCGATTCCGAAGAGCAAAGCTGCCAGCACAAACTCTCGGAGCTCCGCGCAGACTCCTGGGGTTAAGCCAGGCCTGTCCCTCTACAGGGAGAGTAGTCAAAGAATAGTCTGGGGGCTGTCTTTTGAGTATGTTTGGGCATCCAGAGAGCATGTTTTGGGGTTCGTTAATTGTTCCTCCAAAATCCCTCTGTGGGGGACAGGCCCGACCCACCCCTGGTCGCCAGGCCTGCGCCGCCCCCTCTCTGGCGGCGCCTTCGGCGCCGCCCCGTGGCGTGGCCCACGCCCCTTGGTGGAGCAGGGTCCGCCAGCCGTGCCGGACGTCCACCCTCGAACTCCAGGATCCGCTTTCTCCTCCACTTCCTCCTCCTCATTATCCTCCTCATTATCCTCCTCCTCCTCCTCCTCATTATCCTCCTCATTTTCCTCCTCCTCCTCCTCTTTGTTTTTCTCCTCCTCCTCCTCCTCCTCCTCCTCATTACTTCGATGGGCCCCCCTGGGTGATTTTTGGACCGTCGGACTTCCTTTCCCCTCCCCCTTTGCCCGCAGTGGCGTGCGATCCTCCTCCTCATTATCCTCCTCATTATCCTCATTATCCTCCTCCTCCTCCTCCTCCTCCTCCTCCGCGTCATGTACAGGGGGGGGGGGTCCGCGTGCGGCCCCGCCGCCGGACCCCCTCCTCGATGCCCTGCCCGGCGGCGCCCGGAGGGGCTCGGTGAGCCGGCTGCGTGCAGGTGCTCTCATCAAGCAGTGGCGAAGCGTCCTGGCTCGCTTATAGCCCTACCAAACAAGGTTCTAAGAACCTTTGGTGGTGTCCAGGAAATGTTCTTAGAACACCTCTGGTTGAGATTGTCTTGTTTTATCACATCGGGTTTGTGTTCTAAGAACATTGTTTTGTTCTTAGAACATTTGGGGTTCTAAGAACACTTCGTGGTATGACTATAGGAATGCTGGGACGGTCGGTCCCTGCTCAATTTCGGGTCGGGGATTTTCTGACCCGGGTCAATCCAGACCCGGGTCAGTCAACCCTTGCAGAAGCCTGCAAAATTCCTGCAAGATCCTGCGCCCAAGCCCGGGTCCACGCGAAGGATCCCGCTGGATCCTGCAGGATCCTGCACCCAAGCCCGGGTCAATGCGCACCCGGCCTCTGCAGGATCCTGCAGGAGCGGGCGTTCTGGCTGACCCCCGTTTGCGCTGACCCCCGTCTGAAGGCTCCCGATCGGGGGCGCGCAGCTTGGGGCCCCCAAAATAGACACCACCACCACCTCCTTCCCCACCTCCCTCTCGCTGGAAAGAGGAGAGAGGAGAAATCGACGCGGTGGTGGTGTATGTTCTTTGGGCCCCCAAGCGTGAGTGGCGCCCGAGGACGAGAAGCGGCTTCCGTGTTGGAGTTGCGCTGTTCGAGGCCTCCTCGTCCGAGGGTCTCATGCCTCAGGGGAGGGCCGTCTTTGAGGTGCCGATGGTTCGCGCATCCCCCCTTTACTGCACCCTGCTGTCGTCGGCCCCTGGCCGACATGCCCTACAGGAGCGCCTAGATTGGTTGACCATGTTGGCGCCCCCCCGGCAGCCGAAGACCGAAAGACGGCGTGAGCATAAATTTGGAGGTACGCGTGAATCTCCTGGACCGGTGCTAGGCCCTGTCCCCCCGCCCCTCGCAGGCGTCGTTTCTATCCCCACCCTCAGCTTTTCAACGACAAATATCGCAGCTAAGACAAGGAGGGAAACCCTGGGATACACCCCCAGGGGGCTATTCGGACGCACCTCTATCGAGGATGGAGGCCCCCCCCTCGTATATCCCAGGGTTGGGCACCAATTTCATGTCCACTCGAAAACCTCCCAAGGCCAGGGATCGGGATCGACACATCCCCTGTTCCCCTGTCCCCCGGCGGCGCGTCTGTCGCTGCCCCTGCTGCGTCTCCGGTGCGCAGGGACGGGGGGGGCGGGTGGGGGACAGCGCCGACCGAAGAAGTCCGTGCGGACCTCCGAAAACGTCTGCATTTGAGCGGCTGGAGTAAGATCAGCTTTGAGCCCAGAAGGAGCTTTGGGTTTCGGGCGCTCTCGCGGAGCGAAGAGCGAGGAGCGAGGAGCGCGGAGGAGGAGCGAGGAGCGAGGAGGAGAAGCGAGGAGGAGGAGGAGGAGGAGGAGGAGGAGGAGGAGGAGGGGGGATAGGGGGGGCAGCACCGACAGCAGAAGTCCCAGCGGACCTCCCCATGTTTTGCAGGCGAGCTGGAGGAAGGACCGCTTTGGGCTCAGGGGGGGGGGGCTTGAGCGTTCGAGCCGTTCCAGAGGTTTCGAAGAAAAATACAGCCACACAGGAGGAGGAGGAGGAGGAGGAGGAGGAGGAGGAGGAGGAGGAGGAGGAGGAGGATCTCTGAACGACGCAGAATCATGAGCGAAGGGGCTGTTCTGGCCACGAGCCTCGGCCACTTTTGGCGCCCTGCGCGGATTCCTTGGATCCGCGCTGGGCCCCCCAGCGCCTTGGATTCGTGCGCTCGGCGCGCCAGGGAGGGGGGTTCAGCGCAGATCCAAGAAATCCGCGCGGAGCGCCAAACGTTTGTGTTTGTGGCATTTTGTTCTCCGTCTAAGCCACCTGCTCGAAAGGCCCTTTCGGCCCCGAGCACGTCTCGACATAGGGCTCGTTGGCCGTGCCGGCAGCTCTGGCGGAGAAACGGGCAGAACAATGATCGAGAGGAGGAGAGGAGGACGACAAGGAAGAGGAGGAGGAGGTGGAGGAGGAGGAGCGAGGGGGGAGAGGAACAGCAAGGCGAGCATGCGCCAACACGCAGGAGGAGAGGGGAGAGGCGCAGGGCGTCAGCAGGCGGGCGCGCAGCTCTGGGGCAGGCGGGGCGGCTTGGATGTTCGGGCCGCTCCCAGGTTTCTGCCGTGGAACTCGCTTGTGGCCCAGGCCCGCCGTGTTCGATGGCTCGCGACATTGAAGTCAGCGTTTCTAGTCCAAATCTGGTCCAAATCCGGTCCAAATTTGTTCCAACAAATCCGGTCCAAGTCAGGCGCAAATCGGACAGTGCCGGGGGCCACGCAGGCTCCCGTGGAACGGACACCAAAGCCGTGGCCAGAAAAGCCCCGTCGTTCTCCAGTATGCGCTGCTGTTGGGTAACCCGATGACTGCATTGTTTCCTGGGGCTCCAGAGCAGGCTGGCTTTCTGCGGGCTCATACCCACATGATCTTTAAGGTAGGCAGAAACAAACACGATTCCGCCTACCAAAAAGGAATGCACATGCGCTGCGCAGATGCGGCCTGGCGCCAGCACTGGTGAGTCCAGTCCTGGTGGGATCGTAACTGTGAAATTGGATCTCGCAAGAACCTCCACTCCTCCCGCGGTGCCAGGACCGCCGTCCTGGTTGGGTATCGCGGGCGCCCGCAAGCCACAGAAGCTGGTATCTTCGGCATGGACTTACTTATCGGCAATGCGCTCGTTGTCCACATAGTGCTCTTGAACCATCACCACGTCATCAGTAGTTGACGCCAAGTACTCCATCAAAGGCCCATGATTGGCAGTGTTAACTGTGACCATGCGTCCTCGTATGACCTGGTCTTCCGTCCCAGAAGCAGAGGGGCCGCAGTGACATCCACCGACCTGTTACCCGCACCCTCTCCACCGTCCTTCACTGAAGTAGGCCGCGTGGAGCAATGCTGCTTGGCACAGCGGCCGCCCTATCTAGTGTCCAATTGACTGACCTGGGGCAGTCCATGCCAGGGATGCGGAAATTGATGTAGACGTGGCACTCGGAGGCGACGGCCAAGAAATTGACGCAAATGTTGCATCGCGGTTGGTTTCGGACACCTCCAGCGGGCCTTGCGCTGACCTGGGGGCTGGCCAACCCCCCCTAAACAAGTGGGCGAACCATCGTGGTGGGGCGGCCCCGCAGCGGGCAGCGAGGTCACCACTCTCTCAGGCGGAAGTACATCAGCTCGCGCATGGGGGGCCGAAAGTGGAGAAGACGCCTCCGCCCGCGAAATTGAAGCACGTGTTGCAACGCGGCTGGCCGCCGCCACCTCCAGCGAGTCTTGCGCTGCCCTGACGGGGCGGGACCCCCGTCCGAGCGATGGCAGGGGCACGCGAGGCCTCCACGTTCTCAGGCGGCTGCGCAACAGCCCGTGCATGGGAGGCCGAAGCTGGAGCACATGAGGGAACGCTCGTCCCTGCAGCTGGCAGGGAGCCGCCATGGGACACCAGACGGGCGCTCACCACGAGGGTGGCCCAGGCCCGTCGCCTCTGGTTGCCCTGTGTCTCAGGAGCGATCGTTCTCATGGAGATTTGGCTGGCCTGCTCCGAATAGTTCTGAATAGTTCCCCCCCGCTGTCGCGATGCTCTGGGGTTAGGCAGGTGGCAAGGAACCCAGGGCGGCGTCGTCCTCCCCTCGCTGCTCCATAGGGTCGGCCTCTGACAGGTCCAGAATTGAGACGGGCCGTAGCACTGGTGGGCCAGTAGCAGGGCCTACCCTTTCGTGATCTGCTGCAGGGCGCATCAGCATGACGAGGGTTATCTTTATAACACAGAACTGGCCGACGCGGACCGTGATTCGATCATTCATGACGTGCCTTTCGAATATCTTTGTAGACCTGGAAAATTAGCTGGAGGTGCCGTTTGAGCTTACCACGAAACTCTCGTGCGGTACGGGCCGTTTCCTCTTCGGAAGCGTGCGCAGGCTCTTGAATCCCCGACACACCGCATGCATGAAGTTGGGCCCGAAGAGTAGCAGCATCCATGGCATGCACATGTGTGCGTCTTCATCCTCTGCGTCAACACGCATTGGCTCAGAATTGCCTTCCGTTGCCGCCGAGCCGGCTTCCGCTGGAGAAGTCGACGGTGCCGACTGTGCCATTGATTCCAATTTGAGCTTCTTGACTGTTGCGGCAATGGTTTGAAGGTCTGTGGCGAATTTCTCGCAGCTCTCATTGCCTTGATGGCCGCGTCGAACTGCTGCACTGTAGCCTCGAACCCAGGGATGGGCGAATGCACTGAGGGCTTGCCATCCGCTCCCACAGTGACTGTGGGAATGACGGCCTGTCGCAACTTCTCTTCCAACTCCAAGATGTGAAGGTCAGCCGTTTCTTTTTCTGCCCGAGCATTCTCAGCAAACTCCCTTGCCTTGGCCGCAGCTTCTTCAGCGCTCTGGAGCTTGTTGGTGATCGTGGAGAGCTTGCCCCGCGCATTGCGAAGCTTGTCATTGAGATTCACAGCGTTGACCGCCTGTGGCATATCAGCCGCCATATCGGCCAACAGCTTTTCTCTCTCTCTCTCTCTCTCTCTCTCTTTCTCACCCTCAGCAGCATATTTGGTCTTCGCATCGGCGTCCTCATCGTCCAGCGCAGCCAGGATACGATCCAACTTCGCCAGGCGGGTGCGCTTTTGTGAAGGTGGCTGATCACCCCCTTTGGCCAACGGAGACGATGGAGCAGCAGTCGAAGCCTGGAACACACCGAATTTGGCTATCTGTTGCTGCAACTTCTGGACGTGCTTGGCGAGCGCATCCTCACTAGCCGAAACAAGGACGTCTGCGCGCTTGGCAGGGGCATTCGGGGGAGGCACGCGTTTGAAGGCAACGCCCCTGGGTAAGCCGCAGTGAGCGCACGCCTTCTTGTCTGCTCGCTGAATCTATGGAGCCCCGCTGGGCTTGTGAGCGCACCACTTGCAGTCCCAGGGCTCGGCCTGGGCGGCGCGCCGCTGGAGCGCCATACTGCGCGCGAGAGAAGGGCACACACACAAGCCACACTGCGTACGTGGTGAAGGATGTCACCCGCAATGAAGCGAGTGATTTGTGATAGGTATACTCCGCGAGGAGCACGAACATACTAGCTCTCCATCAGCCACCTGGAGACATGTTTTGCTTGAGCCAAAATGGCCACGGACTACTAGGAGGAGGAGGAGGAGGAGGAGGAGGAGGCGGAGGAGGAGGAGGAGGAGGAGGCGGAGGAGGAGGAGGAGGAGGAAGAATATGAAAAGGAGGAGGAGGAGGAAGAAGAGGAGGAGGAGGAAGAGGAGGAGGAGGAGGAGGAAGAGGAGAAGAGGGTGGTTGAGAAGGGCGAGGGAGGCGAGGGCGTTTTTTGAGCTGAGATCATCGTGTGCCGCAGTTTGGCGCGCAGAAGGGCGCCGGAGGTGCGCGCAGGCGGGCGTCTCCTCCGCTCCCGACGTCGGCCGGCCGCCATGCCTGGAGGCGTTGGCTACGGGAGGGGGATTCCAAAAATCGTCAACAAATAATAGGGCGACTATTTTTTTAATCATTTCGATGTGGGCACTTCGGGGGTATGAATTGGCTATGTTTTGCTTTTCGCCCACAATCCGCCTGTAGGAGGACATGCCCGACCGAATGCTGGTAATGCAGGAGGGAGGCAGGGGAGAGGGGAGGGGGAGACGTGGAGGAACGGAGGGCTGCAGGCAATACTTAGATAGCGCCCGGGCCTTCCCCGCGCTTCTTCGAGGCTCGCGTGGCGGAGATCCTGGGGGCTGTTTCCTCCTGCGCAGTGTAGTCTGGAGTGCATCTCATGGGTCCAACATCGCAGAGCGGATTTCGTTTTGGAAAACAAACTGGATGGACCCGAATTGTCGTGGAGAATGTCGTTCGGGATTTCGAAGTGCATTTCGTACGGATTTTCCGTTTGCCGGGAAGGAAGGGTACAAACAATCCACGTGAAATGCGCTTCGTTTCTCGCTCGCCTTGTCGGGGCCTTGCAGTGACAAAAATCCACGCAGAAATCCGCTGCAGTGCGTCTGCAAGGTCGGTGCAGTGATGCGTCCTTCTACCTTATCAGATCGCATCGGAAACCCCCGCCCCACGAGATCCTGGGGGGGGGGCATTACGCCGGCCCCCCTTCCTCTACGGGGCCCCAGAGGTCAAGGGGACCCAACCGATGGACGCGGGGCGGCGGAACCGGTCTAGGTCGCAGCACCGAGCCATGGACACCCGCCCATGCCGTCGACCTGCCCGATTCCGGCAGTCCCCGACTGCGTGCGGGACTGCAGAGGTTTTCTCGCGATGACGCAAGCTGACATGGCCGCCTTGGTCAAGTTCTGCAGACTCAGCTACGGCCCTGCGGTGAATCAAGGGTGGATCAGCTTCTGCACTGGCCAGATCAAGAAAGACTCCATGGCCCCCACAGACATGGACGCCAGCCTGCGGCAGAAGTTCCTGGGAACCCTCTGGGCAGACGAGCGGTCCGCACCAGACGGCCCCAACAGCTCAACGGAGTGGACATCGGCAGCAACAGCAAGGCAACATATGCTGGCGCACATTGCCAAATGGATCGTGATCAAGAGCCCACAGGCAGCCGTCAACTGGGACGAACCCGATCCCGGTACAGCTGAAGGCTTCGAAAAGCTCCCGGCGTTGCTCTCGTACGAAGTCCTTCCCACCTTCGTCAACAGCTTCAACAGGTCAAATTTCGCAGGCTGCCCGCCCACAGAGGAGGGCTACTTCCAACGCGGAACGCCACCCCAAACTTATGCACCACGATTGAAACAGTCGCCCCAGCTATGCGACCCGCCTGCAGGCCAGAAAATGCACTCCACGGTTGGGCTCACGTGCTACCACCGCGCTGCCCCGACCTCACCGCGCGAGAAATCGCCCAGTTGAGCGCAGCCGGACCCCGCGCCAGCACTATCGCGAAGGTCGCGGTGTCTTTCGTGCTGCAGATCCACGACGGGATCCTGCGAGAGTGGGGGCAACGGATACTAAGGAGACACCTGGCCAGCCCGGGGGCCGCCCGTGTCCCCGCACCGCGGCAGCCTCGAGCACGGGGCGAAACAGATTGTCGCGGCTTCCTGGCCACGATCTACTTGGGTGACGTCCCGGCGGACGGCGTCACCAGGCGCTTCCCATGGAACGGCACAAGGGCAGCCCTCGCCCACGTTGTCAACCACCTCGCCAAGAAGAAAGGGAAAGGAGGGGCCGAGCGTCCAGACAACCTTCGACGCTCTTGGATCACCTTCTTGGCACTGTCTCTGCTGTTCACGGCGCAAGCCCTCTGCCGTGCAGCGAACGGGATTCGGATGGCTGCGCGCGCATTGTTCCGATAAGTTGTCGTTTTGGGCCAGTGGTCCGACTTTGAATTTCCGCGCAGAAAATTCAATGATAATTGGCACCGCTCTAGAATTGAAAATGTGAAACCAGGTCAAATACCAGCGTTTGGCGAGCAACGCAACCTGATACCGCCGCGTTGGCGCAAAATCGTCGCCGGCAACCCATCCGGTTTTGCCAGGGGGCCCGCCACTCCGACTTTCATATGTCTAGCCTCCTCAGCGCGAGAGCGCGGCAGGCCTGGGCGGTCGTCTGGGGCGCCGCCGACACAGCGCACCGCGCGTGGGTCATCGCGCGGGGCGCGCTCATTGGGACCGAGACCGGCCGTGCACTCGGCCTGCTCCAGATGCTCCGGCCCAGCCGCGCGCCAGGCGCAGCGCCCAGCGGGCCGACGACCAGCGCCCCCGCGCGCGGCCGCGGCAGCGACCCCGACCTGGCTAAGGGAGGCAAGGCAGACCGCGGCCAGCGCCAGGCGCAATATCCACAGGCGCATGGGCAGCATGCGGGACCCGGCCTGGCCCGACGACCACGCTGACCGAGCCTGGCTCGGCCTGGGCGACAGATTGCGCCGCCTGCCACGGCTCCGCCGTGTGTTTAAGCGCATGCACGCCCATGGTGGCCTAGAGAGCTGGGGCGCCGTCGTCAAGCGTCTCCAGATCGAGGCCGGCCCATGCTTCGGCGAAAGATGGAAGCGCGCGCGACAAGCGCGACAACGAGGGCTTCGGCAAAGGGCGACGCAACCCGCTTGCCAGCGAGGACTTTTGCCGACATTTCACGGCCGACCTGTGGCATTGGAACTGCGACATCAAGAAGCACTGCTGGCGGGGAGGTACCCACGTTGACCAGGGCTAGATCTGGCGCAACCAGCTGGCCGAGAACGCGCGCAAGCAAGAGGCGCGGGGGCGCGAGGCCGCCGAGCAAGGCAACGGGCGCGATAAAGGCGGCAAGCCTGGCGAGCGCCGCTTTGAAACTGCCTGGGGCGACGCCCCCCGCGCCCGCCCTCGGCGCTACACACTGGCGCCGCCGCGGCCACCGCCGCCCGGCTGCGCTCGGCACCTCTGCGGGGAGCGCCGCCCGCGGGCACCGCGCCCCCCGCCCCCCCCCCTCGCCGCGGCGTCGCGACTCCCATTGGGACGTGCGACGCCGCCCTTCAGCGCCCCCCGCGCCACTTCGGCGCTCCCTCACTCTCTCGCCGCGACAGGCCGCTCTCCATGAGGCATGTGGCCGTCTGTGCTGGGCGCCTCTCCGCGCCTGGCTTGGCGCCTCCTCGATGCCCCCCTCTCGTCTTTCCCCCTTGCGACGTGCCTCCCGTTTGGGGCGCGCGTTGTGTTGTCTTTTTGCGCCGCTTCGGTGCTTCTCTGCTGCGCCGCGCTGGGCCGCCCATTGGGCCGCCCGGCGTCGTCGCCTGGCTTCTGCGCCTCTCGGCGCCCCCCGCCGCCGCCCCCGCGCGACGCGCCTTCCGTTTGGGGCGCGCGTCGCTCACGCGCTGCCCCCTGCGCCATTTCGGCGCTTCTCTGCTGCGCCACGCGGGGCCGCCCATTAGGATCCCTGCGTCGTCGCCCGGCTTCCGCGCCATTCGACCTTCCCCGCCGCCGCCCCCGCGCGACGTGCCCCCCGTTAGTGGCGCGCGTTGCTCACTCACTGCCCCTTGTTTTTTTGCGCTTCTCCGTCGCGCCGCGCTGAGCCGTCCGTTGGGCCGCCTTGCGTTGTTGCCGGGCTTCTGCGCCCTTTGGCGTTCCCCTCCGTCCGCGGCAGCCCCGCGCTGCCTCCTCCCATGGCGATGCTGTTCCGCCCCGCCGCCCGCGGGCGCCCGGGACGTTTCGCCTGCTGCCGCCTGCCCCACCCCTCTCTGCCCTCTGGCCACCCAGCGCGGCCTTGGGCGGTCGCGCCGCCATTCCCCTGTCGCAGCCAGTCATCTGGCTGCGTTGCCACCTCCTTCCGGCTGCCCCGCGCTTCCTCCTCCCGTTGCGATGCCGTTCCGCCCCGCCGCCTTCGGGCGCCTGGGGCGCTTCGCCCGCCGCCCCCCGGCCCGCCTCTCCTGGGCCCCTGGCCGCCCGGCGCGCCCTTGGGCGGTCGCGCCGCAATGCCCCTGTCACTGCCAGCCATCTGGCTGCTGCTCCTACCTCCGCGCGGCTCAGTGCTGTGCCTACTCTTCGGCGCGCCGCGGTGCATCTACCGTTCGTTGTGCCCCATTGCGCCCGCCCGCCAGCCCCAGCTGCTGGCAGCCAGCCGCCCTCCCTGCCACCGCGGTCTGCCGCGGCCGCCCGCCGCACTCATGGCCCCGCGCGCCTGGCTGCTGCTACCCCTCCTGGCTGCTCCTCGTCGAACTCTTCGACGTGTCAACGCCCCTTTTCTTCTCGGCCGTCCCCCCCCCCCTCTTTGCCCGCCAGCCAGTTCGCTAGTTAGTGCCTCTTTTCTAGCTGTTCGCTGGAGCGGAGTTCGCCGCCCCGCCTCTGTCGAAAAGAAGTGTCTCTGCGTGTTCGGCGTCCTAGTTGCGTCGGCAAGTCTGCGTTTGTCAGCTTATGTTGGCGCGCGTTTGGCACGGGGCCGACTTTGAATAGAAGCTGTGTTTGGGAGCAGGTTTCGAACAAAAGCTCTTGACAATTCGCCCAGTATTGAGCAGGATCGCTTTTCGAGCGGTACAGGAATGCAGCGAACTCCCGCCAAAGCCCCCGTGGAGCCGCCCTGGAGTTCTCGAGTTTCTATTGATGCGGGACATGCGTTCGAGGAACGAAATGCGTGGACCGTCGGTTTGAGGTTGATCTTTGATGATATGCGTGATGCGTCGCGAAACCTACACCCCATGTAGAAGCGATCGCCAGGCGAGTTGCCCTGATCAGGGGAACATCGGAACACCTATGAAAACGCAGGGGATGCAGCCGTCAAGCCGAAGCTCGGAATCAATCTGGGGATACGGAGTGGAGTTGCCGAGCTTGCCGTCGAAAAAGGGAGAGGCGGATGGCGGAGGAAGGAGGCGGCAGCGACACTGACGAGGACGATGGTTCGGCCACGACGATGGCGGCAGGAGTCAACAATTGAAGATCTCTGCGGGTCGTTTGTTCGAAGAGCCTCTTTGGATGCCTGTTGGAGCCATCTAGAAGCTCTCTTGGCAATATTTCGTGAATTTTCGGGGCCCTCTTGGGGCCCTCGGGGGGGCATCGGGTGCCTTGTTTGGGCACGCGTGCCGGGGCCGGCCCAGGTTTTTGCCCCCCGACCCCCGCTGACCCCCCGAACCCCTGCAGAGTAACGCCAAGCCCTCCCTTCTCGCTGTGCGGAGGTAGCGTTGGCGACGAGCACAGATGGGGGAGTGAGAAAGTGAGAAGGAGCAGGCCTCGTGAGAAGGTGGCTATGCTTTTCAGATGCCCCCGCGCCTTCTGAGAAGTTGTTGCGTTTTCAGGGAATGTTTAAAACAATCTTCTGAAGGCAGGACGCCTTCCGAGCGTTATGAAAAGGCGCGTTCCCTCTCGCTTCCCCCCTTGGCACGCGTTGGATGTGGCCTCACACTCCCGAAGGAAATTCTCATGGGCGCGCACCCCCGCTCACGTTGCCACTGCTTGTGCGGGATCAGGCACTGAAGCCAACGTGTGCACCGATTGCGCTGTAAGTCGCGCGAATGTATGCATGAGCTCATGCATGCATTGATGTACGCACGCATGCAAGCACATGCATATATGACGCTTGCGTTTTAATGCCCATGGCGCACGGGTGTATGTTTGTACGTGCGCATGTGGATGTTTGCGCGTGCGCGTGTGCGTCCGTCGATCGCACACAAAGATTGCGCCTTTCTTCATCGGTCTCGCAGCGACTTCCAGCGGTCCGAATTGGTTGGATGTGTTCTCCGCAAGATAGCGCTCCGCCGCCCCAATGATCGTAAAGAGGGGGCTGCCTTGCCATGTGATTGCCAGGCCAAGCGCCAAACGCTGCTCGAGCTCGTCGAGTACGTGAACAACACTCGGAATTGTTTTACCGAGCCGATCATGCAAGGCACTTTGCTGTTGCGCCTTGCATTGCCGCATGCGATTGGGTCTCGTCTGCAGTGGCAAGAGTGCCTCAGGGACACCCCGCCCAGCTGCCTCCCCCCAAGGGACCTCGGCAGGGGTCTGGTTCCGAGGGCGCGGTTCCTCTTCCTTCTGCTCTCTGCAGGTGTTGTTCCCACGCTTATCTCTGTCTCTCTCTCTCTCTCTCTCTCCCTCTCTCTCTCTCTCTATATATATATATATCTTTCTGCCTCTTCCTTTCTCTCTCTCTCTCTCTCTCTTTCTTTTTCGTCTTGACGAGTGAACAACACACACCCATACCCATAGGGAGGTCGGAGGGAGAAGGACTGGCTATGGGTATAGGGACGGGTTATCGGACCCCTGGGGAGGCTCCCGCTCGAGCGGTGATCAACATTCGACAACACGCACCCATAGCTCATTCCGTCCCCTTATGGTTATGGGTGTGTGTTGATCGTTCGTCATGTTTGTTCTCTCTCTCTCTCTCTCTCTCCTTTTCATTGTTTGTTGTTTTCTCTCTCTGCCTCTCTGTCTCTGTCCTTCTCGAGTCTTACGCATTCAGATTGCTTATGCAGGTACACTTGTCTGTTGTTTACATGTGTGTATAGATATATGTGTATGCATGTATCTCACTCTCGTTTCTCATACAGATATTCCTATTCATACATTATTGTAGGGCCGGGGACCCCGGAAAGAGCGCACCCCCCATGACCCCCCCAAACGAATTTCGAATTATCGGGCCTGTCTTGCGCCTTGGGTTTTCTCTGATTTTCGACTCTCTGGGCCCTCTTAGGCCAGCCTTAGGCCTCTTAGGCTCGTCTGGGGACTCATTTGGAGCCGTCCTGGGGTATCTCGACGTCCAAGAGCCGATCGTAAGCGAAAAGGCGAGAAGACCAAACACATTGTTTTCCCAATGGGTTTTCATTTATTTTCAATTATCAGGGCATTCTTCGGCCAGCCTTAGGCCTCTTTGAGGCTCGTCTGAGGACTCATCTGGAGCCGTCCTGGGGCTATCTTGACGCCTCAAGCGCCGATCGTAAGCGAAAAGGCGAGAAGGCCAAAAACATTGAATTCCCAATGGGTTTACATTGAATTTCAATTATTTGGGCCTTCTTGGGCCAGCCTTGGGCCTCTGTGGGCCTCGGCTTGCGCCTCTCCGGAGCCATCCTGGGGCTACCTTGACGCCTCCCGAGCCGACCAGAAGCGAAAAGGCGAGAAGACCGAAACCATTGCTTCCCTTTTGGGATTTGTTTTAAGTGGTTGTCGAGGCTCCAGGCCCTCTAGGGCCAGTCTGTGCCCTCTTTGGGGCTCGTCTGAGGACTGATTTGGAGCAGTCCTGGGCCTATCTTGATGTCTCAAGAGCCAATCGGAAGCAACAAGGCGAAAAGACCAAACACATTGATCTTCCAATGGAATATCACGGATATTCAATCCTTTGGGTCCTCTTCGGCCAGCCTTGGGCCTCTATGGGCTTCGGCTTGCGCCTCTATGAGGCCACCCTGGGGTCATCTTGACGCCTCTCGAGCCAATCAGAGAGGAAAAGCGAGCAGGCCGAACACATTGCTTTTCCAATGGGTTTGCTCTGATTCTCAATTCTCTCGGCATTCTTCGGCCAGCCTTGGGCCTCTTTGGGGCTCGTCTGTTGACTCATTTGGAGCCGTGCTGGGACATCTTGACACCTCAAGAGCCGATCGTAAGCTAAAAGGCGAGAAGGCCAAAAACGTGTGTTTTCCAGTTTCCAATGGGTTTACATTGAATTTCAATTATTTGGGCCTTATTGGGCCAGCCTTGGGCCTCTTTGAGGCTCGAAGCCGGCAGCCCAGCAGCGCGCATGCCGAAAATAGAATGGTCTGTAGGAGGCAGAGGAAGAGGAGGAGGAGGAGGAGAAGGAGGAGGCAGAGGAGAAGGAGGAGAAGGAGGCGGAGGAGAAGGAGGAGGAATTAGAGGAAGAGGGGGAGAGAGGAGAAAGAGGATGAGGATGAGGAGGAGAAAGAGAAGGAGGAAAAGGGGGAGGAGGAGGAGGAGGAGGAGGAGGAGGAGGACGCCCTGCTTCATGCTAGCCGAACCACTCGCCTGAGACAGATTCGCGCCTCTGGGCCCCGAAACGCCCTGAAATGGCCTAAGCTGGTGTTGTCGGGTCACTCCCGTTCAGGAACTCCTCACCCATTCCGACTTGACGGTGGCCCGCCCCAGGTCCGCGCGCACGCACGCCGCCTGCATTCCAAACTACAAGGAACAAAGTGCATGGCGCGAAGCGCCAATGCATATATACAGTCGACCCGGACTAGTAGGTCGACCCTGCCAAATCAAGGGTACCCTTGTGTCCTGTGTCTCGCGCTCCATGCTTCCTACATTCCTGTGGCAATGTAACCTTCGGAAGGGTCTTGTGTCCTCTCGCGTGTCCTGTCCAATCAAGTCCGACTGTATATGTATACATATATATCTATATATATGTATATGTATGTATGTATGTATGTATGTCTGTATGTATGTATGTATGTATGTATGTATATGTGTATGTATGTATGTATGTGTGTATGTACTGATGTATGTATGTATGTATGTATGTATGTATGTATGTATGTATGCATGTGTGTATGTATGTATGTATGTATGAATGTATGTATGTATGTATGTATGTATGTATGTATGTATGTATGTATGTATGTGTGTGTACATATATATGTATGTATTTATGTATGCATATATCTATATGTTATATATAAATATAAGACATATATATATAAAATACAGATAATACATATATACATATATATATATATAACTGTATATATATATATATATGTATAAGGGTGGGGTGCGACCGAAGTGAACCGGTACGTCGTATCGGCTCGTTCGCGCGGGCGAGGCGAAGCGAAGCTGCGCGGGCTCCTGCCACGGGTGGCAGCCGGGGCCGGCCAGGGCGCGTCCTGCCCCCGTGCTGGGCGCGTGGTACTCCCCCCGGGGCTCCGCTCCCCGGGGGGCCTGCTGGCTGCCCCGCTGGCTGTCCGGGCGGTGGTCCCGACAGTCATTTGGCATTAAGTCGGGCGTGTCCACCATACAGGGGGATTTCCTCGACGAAAATCGAAGAAGATGTTCAAGCATATTCCAAAGTGGTCCAAAACATGCTCCAAAAAGAGTCCCCGGGCTATTTTTTGACTGTTTTTGGATATGCCCCCTGTAGAGGGACGGGCCCGACTTAAGCCTGGCATCGCTCGGACGCGTGCATTTTCCTTCGGCGAGGGCCATCGAGGAGCATCCTTGATCATTTGGCGAAAAGGCACGCACGACGCCGAACAAAAGCACAGGGAATGGAGGTCCGAGCGATGGCGAGGGTCCCGGCAGTTGGGTCTCATCTCGATTCCTCCGATTCGATTCGGTTCCAATGCGATGGCCTCCGACTCCGATTCGAGTCGACTTCGGGTTCCGATGGCGGCGCCGATGTCTCCCTGGAGGCCCACTGTTCTGCCGATGTCCGCCGGTTCGACGTCCCCCGGCTCGGCTGCAAGTTTCCGCCGATCTGATGCATGTCGACTGCAGGTCCGAGTTGTCGGTTCGATTCTGGGCCCTCCTGGACAGTTGTCCCGGTGGTTTTCCTGATAGGCTTCCCGACGGTTGCCCAGACGGTTATCTCGAAGTGTGTACCAAGGGTTGTCCCCATGGTTGTCCCGATGGTTGTTTCAATGGTTGTCCCAGTGGTTGTCCCGATGACTGTGTCCATGGATGGGAAGTGAGACCGGGGGATTGATCCATAGTGAGACCGGCAGATAGAGAGACCGGTAATAGTGAGCCCAGTCGAAAAATTGCAGGATGCATTGCAAGACCGATGGTTTCATTGACAGTAGTCATGTTGTTTTGTAAGGAGAACAGATTGCTAAGGTAGATCGACAGTTAGATCGCTTGCTACATTGATATTTGGATTGGAGGATAGAGAGATCGACAGATGGTTTGATAGTGGCACCAGTACGTACAGATGGTTGCCTCGATGTTTGTCCCGATGGTTGTCCCGACGGGTGTCCAAATCGGGCTCCTGATGGTTGTTCCGCTGGTTGTCCCGATAGTTGTCCCGATGGTTGTTTTGATGGTTTTCCCCATGGGTGTCCCGATGGTTGGCCTGACCATTGTCTCCGTGTTTGTCCCGATCTTAGTTCTCATTGTTTGTCCTGATGCTTGCGACGATGGTTGTTCCGATGGCTTTTCCGATGGATAGTCCAATCCGCTTACGCCGATATCGACGGATAGTACCCGATAGATGATTAGACCGATCGAATGATCGATAGTTTTTCATACTTAGATACTTCGTGATACCGATGAATAGTTCTGGGCATCCCAGATGGGGTCGGAGTAGATGGGGTCGGAGGATCACGCCGCATCGCCGATCTATCGCCGATGCGGCTTGATGTGGAGCCCGATTTTCATCACGTCGACGTCGCCGATGCATCGCCGACGTCGACGATGCATCGCTGGTGCATCGCCGATGCATCGGTGATGCTGCGCGGTCCTCCGACCCCATCTACTCCGACCCCACTTGCGCGATCGATCGATACAGTGAATTTCATGTTGGTGGATTGACTGTGACATTGATACATATTTCGGTCTACATGTGCATACATATATATAGAGAGATATAGATATTTACGTATGTCGGTATGTATGTATGTATGTATGTATGTATGTATGTATGTATGTGCTTATATCTAGTTGTATGCATTGATGAGGGGGTCGGCATGTCGAGAGGTCGGACATCAATCAGGAGGTATCGAGATCGTTAGATCGATCGCGAAACCGGTCCGACGCCATTCGCAGTTCGAGAGTTACACCCCCTTTGAAACCTCCCAGATCCCCGGGGAGATGTTGTCTATGCCGCTCTGCTATCCGACCGCTGCAGTTTGATTCCTTGCTCTGCTGCGCTGTTTTTTTTATAGCAGGTATTTTCTTCCAGATCAGGGCAGGCAGGGACCTGCCAGGAGCGTGACTCGGGGGTGGACAGACCTCCTACCCTGACACGTCGATTAGCGAATTGGCCGTTTTCGGTTGGCGAGAGGGCGTCGCGGCCGTCATTTTTGCGGGTCCAGGTCCGTCGGTTTTTGTCCAAGGCCGTTTTCTTTGAAGGGAGGTTTACTGAAGGGAGGTCTGTCCACTGCCGAGTGACCGGAGGGGAAGCGTACAAGGGAAGGATGGGAGATCGGCGAGGGCAGACGGTCGGAACGGGGCAGGTGTCGGAGAAGGGGGCGGCGTCCTCTGGGGTTGCCAGGAGAGCTCCTCTGGACGATCCGCGCGAATCTTGCATCTCGTGGAGGCGATGCCATCAGAGGTGGATAGACCTCCTACCCTGACACGTCGATTCAGGAATTGGCCGTTTTCGGTTCGCGAGAGGGCGTCGCGGCCGTCATTTTTGCGGGTCCAGGTCCGTCGGTTTCGGTCCCAGGTCGTTTTCACTAAGGGGAGGTCTACTAAAGGGAGGTTTGTCCACTGCCGAAGGGTTGCCAGGAGAGCTCCACTGGACGATCCGCGCGAATCTTGCATCTCGTGGAGGCGATGCCAGCACTTGCTGCAAGGATGCGCCGGTTCTTGCCCGAGGTATCGGAATGCGTAGGTTCATCACGTTTTCGTCCGCTTGCAGCAAGCTCCAAGCCTGGGCCAGGCAGTAATGTCATGGCCCGCTGCATCCACTGGGGCAGGAAGCTTACCCTCGCCAGTGCCATCCTGAAGGGACGCAATACTGGGGGCGCCCTCACGAGACGCGCTCTGCGTGTCTATGCCGTTGTGAGATCCATTCGATGTCGGTTGCTGCTCTCCGCAGATGTGGTGAGCATGGTCGGTAGCAACATCTTCCGCGCCTTGCAGACGCAGAACAGAGATCCACGGTTTTATTCAGATCCCGAGGACCCCCCCGTTTTCTGTTGCTTGGTCGTGGAGGCTCGTCTCGTGTTGTTCCTGGTCTGGCTTCTCCTCCCGTTCCCACTCCGAGACCCGCTGCTGCTATTGCCGCTAGCGCTGTCGCCGCTGCATCTGTCACCGTGGCTGTTGTTGCGATTTCATGGTTGTGCCGCCATCGCGGTCGCCTTTTGCCACAGCTTCTGCTGTTGTTGATGCATGTATTTCCCCTGGGAGATGAGGGTCAATCTGTCGCCGCGCTGCTTGTTCCGCCCCTGCAGCCTTCCGTCTTTTGGAAGGCGCCGCGACCACCAGGGCAAACGCCGCCTCGGGCGCAATAGGCTCGCCGTGGGGTTTGCCGCGGTGCCGGCTTCGTGTCCTGGGGCGCGGGGCGCAGGGTTTGATTTGGGTTTGCTGTGGTGCCGGCGTCGTCCACTTGGGCGCGTTCAGAGCAATCGTCGCGGCGACATATCAACCAATCGATCGCCGAATGGTTGGTGACGAGGCTTCTCTCTCCCTTCTCTCTCCCTCCTCCTCCTCCTCCTCTCCCTCCTCCTCTTCCTCTCCCTCCTCCTCCTCCTCCTCTTCCTTGTCCTCCTCCTCTTGCAGGACGACCAGCCCTGCTTGGAGAAGGCGTGGCCGCACCTGCAGATAGTGCGCGGGCCTCAGCAGGGCCCGCAGCGTCCGGTCGGGTCCCCATTCAGGGGCGACGCTACGGGGGGGAAGGGATAGGCCGAGGGAGGAACGGGAAGGGGAGGGAGGAACGGGAAGGGGAGGATCAGGGGTGCATCGAGTTCGAGGTTTTCGGACGCTTTAGTGGGATCCCAGCGGTTTTCCAGCCTCGGGGTGACTTCCAGCGAATCGCCGTCGGCGTTCCGGGGGTGCCAGAATTGTCCCGAGCGGCCGCTTGAGATTCGTGATACGGCCCGAAAACCACCAGCGGCATCGATAGGGGGGATAGGCCCAGGGATGAAGGCATCGACCCCCCATCGCCCTGTCATCGCCGCTATGGGCCTGATATCATTTCCCGCCCAGGAGCGCTCTTTCGCAAGTGTGGGCCTCTCGGCGATGTAACGCCGATTCGATGTCGATGTCCCCCGACCCCTCCGAGCCAGTCTCCCTAGGTATCGTTCCCCACCCTGGGTGCGGCGCCTCGTCCGCCACGCCCACCACAGAACGGCCAGCCCCGCCCGCAGAGAGGCGCGACCGCTTCTGCTGGGCGTCGCGTAAGGTGGGCGACACATGGGGGGGCCAGCGAGGGCTGCAGAAAGAGTGCCTTCCAGGGCCGTTAAAGGGGCCCCTCACGGGCCAAAACTGGGGCCTTGAGGTCCCGAGAAGTGCACTTTTCTTCACCACCCGCCAAACCACCCCAACCCAACCCGAAGGCCTCAATTTGCCCTCCATTTCCAGTGTGGGGGATCGGGGAACATCGAAAACACAGATGGAACCCGTACCCCCCCCAACCCGAAATTTGGGTCCAATTCGGGTCTTCGGGTTGGGTTGGGGTGGTCTGGTAGGTAGTCATCTTCCCTCCGCATTTATTGCCCCCGCATTACTCGACGCCCGAACTTGCAGTTGGGCGCACGGATCGTGAGGACCCGATTTGTCGATCGAGCCCAGAAACCATTGCCGCTCTCGAGGTTCGCACGCCGCTGTTGCCTGCTGCTCTTTGTACTGTCGGGGACCAGGAAGCAGCACAAACGTAGAATGTAAGGGGGGTCCGCGCAAAATTGTTGGCTCACGGTCATTCGTGAGAGCGTGAGAGTTTTGATCAGTTTGTCAGGGTTCGATGAGGTTGTGGATCCGTGAGTCAAGGAGGCGGCAAAGGAGAAGGAGGGGACCGGGGATGAGCACGACCAGGAGGTGGGAAAGGAGCAGGTGGAGGAGGAGCGGGAGAAGTAGCAGGAGGATGAGGAGGAGAGGGCTTGGGATCGACGGGTTGACCCTTCCTCCTCGGGCCAGTTGGACAAGGATCGGAACCTACGGACGCAACAAAGGAGCAGGAGGATGGGGACGACGACGACGTCGACGGCGAATATGACGATGGAGTAGACGACTTCGACGAGGCCGAGCAGTCTGGACTGGGGGACGGTTCGGGGGAGGATCGGACGAGGAGGAGGAGGAGGAAGAGGACGACGGGGACGACGACGAGGCGGAGCATCCTGGATCGCGGGGGGCTCTTGTGCGAGGTACGAGTTCTTGCTGCGGTTCGTGATCTCGAACGACGTGGATCCGAAGGCCCCCAGCGCCGCCCCGCCCTTCGGCCGCCAGGGATTTGCGCGCCTCTGGCTCCCCCAGCAGGGGGAGGAAGAGGAGAGAGACTAGGAGGGGAGGTGGAGGAAGCGGGTCGGATCGGATGAAAGAGGGGGTGTCGACGTTTGCTGCACGCAGTTTGTTTCGGCCCTGCCGCTGGGAAATTGCCTCGACACTCCTTATCCGATCCGAGAAGGGACGGGGCTGCAGCAGGAGGAGGAGGAGGAGTAGGAGGATGTGGAGGAGGGGGCGGGGGGATGCTGCGGGAGGGGGCGGGGAGGCGAAGAAGGATAAGGAGGAGGAGGTGGTCTACAACAGATGCGCGCAGCATGTCTGACGTAACATTGACCCTGCGCGATTGTTGGCGCGTTGAATGGCAATCAAGAAGTAGGTTGTGTTGTCGGCTTGCTGGTCTTCACTAGGACGGCATGGATAGTAGTCATCGTCTCCTCCCGCCTTGGCATGCCGTCCGTCCTGACAGCCTGCGTGTGATCTCTTTTCTCAGCTGGTATATGCTGTCCCTTGGCTTTTACGACCAACGCCTCCCGCAGTCGTCGAATATATGTTTGATGGGCGGCTATGCGTCCGTTGAAAGGCTGCGGAGTATAGCACGATGATCTGGGCTAGCGCTGGGATTCTAATGTACTCGGGACATGCAGATCAGTCTCTCTCTCTCTCTCAGCCTACAGTCGTTCTGCTTTAGCATGCTCCGCGTGTGAACGTGTTTGAACCTGAAGTGTAGAAGCTGTTACTGTCGGGTTGTATTTTCCCAATCAGTGCTTGCACTGAAGGGATCGGCGGAAGTTGAAGCATTGGCGAAAGTACCCCGCCGATTTTGAGGCTGGGTTCCCGGTTCCGGGTTCCTGGGTTCCCGGATTCCCGGTTCCGGGCCGATTTCGGAGGCCGGCGAGGTTCTCGGGTTCCCGGGTTCTTGGTTGATTTTCTTATCGATCGGTCTCACCATCGATCATTACCGATTTCTCGATCGATCTCACCATCGATTTCACAATCGATCTCACTATCATTCTAGCAAGCGATCTCATTAGAGATCGCATGAGCGATCTTGCGATCGATCTCACTATCGATCTCGTTGAATCGATTTCACTCTCGGTCTCATGATCGACCTCACAATCGTACTCACTATCGATTCCACGATCGATCTCATTATCGATCTCACAATCGATCTCAAGATCCATAGTGTCAATTTTCAAATCATCCATTGGGGTTTTCTCAGGTGTAATTTCTTTCTTTCAGTTGCTAGACCGAGCTCAGACGCTGATTTCCGATGCTTTGGCAAGTTCTCAGGTGAACGCCGCCTTGCCACCCCGGTCTTGTCGGAGTCAGCCTAGATCAGGTGCGCAGTTTCCAGGCGATCTATTGCAGGAGGGGGCGGGGTTGGCTTGTCTGTGGTCCTGGCACTGCCCCGTCCGAAGCCATCGCGACGCCCTCCCCCCTCTCCCAACCGCACATGCCGCCATCTGTTGAGTTTCTCCACGGCCCCCACTTTGCAACCATATTCGCGCTTGCCCCTCTTTCGGGCACCTCGAGGGGCACACCAATCTTCCCCACGCCATGACCTATGCCTGGATGTCTTGCGATCCAGGCGACTCCTGCGTGCGCATAGCCGAATATTTGCTGGACGTCTCCAGGCTGCGCAGCTGCCCGCAAGGATTTGTTGTTGTGTTTGTCTCGCCGCTTGGTGTCCCTGTCGGTTTTCGTTGCTTTTTGGCGCGCCTTTGGACACGTAATTTGGCTGTGTGGTGTTCAATGAACACTCGCGTGAGTCCAGGTTGACCCGCTGCCAGGACAGTCTCCAGTGTGCCACGGTCATCCTCCGACGACCAGGCTGCATGGAGGTCTTTGACACGGCACGTCGGTGACACCTTCACCTTTTCATCTTTTTCATTGGCCAGTCCTCGTTCGTGGAGGCTCCGTCCCTGCAGTAGGGAAACGGCGCCACTTGCAGCACAACATATAGTATGATTTGACCTGGTGCACTTGCTAGATGCGGGTGCTGACTTGTAGTTCAAAAGCGCTTTGTCGCGTGCGCCGTATCATTACGCTTCTTGTCTGATCGAGACCGTTTTCTATTTCTCTCATACCCTTCATTCTCCGTCCTCCCACCCAGCGCCCCCTCCCCGGAACCTCATCCCGAGAACAGCGGAAAACAGTTGCCCGCAGTCCGATTGCTTCAGGCTGAACGGTTCTTCATCCTTCCTCCACGTCCACCTCTCCGTATCCTCCTCCTCGCCCGGCCCCTTGCTCTTTCCCCGATTCCCCCTGCTCCCCTGCCCTGTGTTCGCCGACGGCTACTCTTCGCGACCTACACCGTGGGCCCGTGGCTCCGCCTGTGTATACCCCCTCACCCCCCGTGCTTCTCCTCGTCCGCCTCCTTCTCCCCCCCTCCTCCCTGCGCCCCTTCTCTTCCCTCCCTCCGCTCTTCTCCTCCCCTCCTCCGTCCTCCGTCCTCTGCCCTCCGCTCTCTCCTTGTGCTCCTCTTCCTACCTTCCTCGTCCCTTCTCCCCCCCCCCCCTTCTCCTTACTCCGTGCCCCCCCCCCCCCGTTCCTCCTTCCGTGCTGCTGGCGCCGGGGCCCCATCCTGCTCACCCCCCTCCTCCTGCTCGGGCTTCCGCTTCTGGTCCTGCTCGTGCCCCCGTTGGGCCCGTACACCGTCAGATCGCCAAGCGATTCGTGGATCAGAACTTCATCATGAAGCTCCTAGAGCTGTTTGACTCCGAGGAGCGTGGTTAGATGCTCGTTTTGTGGAACCTGTTGGGGCACACCTGACGGACGATCTGTTCGACTCGAGTTCCAATCTGGGATCGATTCTAGTTCGAGACACAGTTCGACTCGAGTTCGACGTGAGTCGCTGGACTTTCGACGCAGCATCGACGCATGAGTGGAGCGAGTGGCTCCAGGTCCAGGACGGTGGATGATGAGGAGGAGGAGGATGAGGAGGAGGAGGGGGAGGAGGAGGGAGGAGGAGGAGGAGGAAGAGGAGGGAGGAGGAGGAGGAGGAGGAGGAGGAGGAGGAGGAGGAGGAGGTGGAGTCGGGCGTTGGCCTTTGGGGAGGGGGCCGAGCGAGCGAGGCCAAACCCGCTCAGCCGCGCCCGCTCAGGCCTCGTGCCCCACAGGGGCGGAGGGGAGGGCGAGGGAGGACCGCGTCTTTCGCCCAAGCCCAAGAACAAGTCTCAAGGTGTTAGTTTGGATTAGTAAGGTCACAGCGTTGTCTTCCACTCGACGTGTATATACCTCATACCTACATCTGCATATCAATATACAGAGAGTGCATGTTGCTTTTCCGATATGTCTGTATCCACATAAGCACATATGCACACACATACGAATACGTTTACACATTCATACATATATACCAACGTGTATACAAACATGCGCGTGCACACACACACGTAAACCTATATACGTAAAATCGCATGTATAATACATTCACAGTTCCATACGTACACAGATAAATGTTCACATCCATGCACACACACACACACCTGCACGTTCGTCTACATGTAAACATACATTCGCACATGTACACAACCATCCGTGTATATATATATATAGACATGCAGTTACACCTTCACGAACACATACCTGTATATACATATATATATATACATGCGCGTACACAGACATACATAGGTAAACAAAAAAAACGTATCCGTACATATCCGCATATATTTGTCCATTCATGTGCATCAGTGTGCATACACACCTACGTGTGCAGAGACAGTTCACATACGCATACATACCTACAAACAAACCTCCATGCAACCATACATACATACATACATAATTATATACGTACGTCCGTACATACACAGATGCATCCGTACATACATACATATTTCAATACATACACGCATACGTACACACATACATACACATGTACGACCCAGGAGGCCTGACAAACGACGTAGAATGTTCCCAGAGGCCACGAGGAGTGCAGCAGAGGCCCCAGAACGGGCCCCAAGGAGGGCATCTTGGGCGTTCTGAGGCCCTCTTGGGACGATGCTCGGGGCCTTGCGGATCTTTCTCGGGGGCCTCGTGGGACCACGCTGGCAGGTGCTGGCACTCTCCTGTGGCCCCGTCGGAAGTCGCGCGAGGGGCCGAAGTCCCGTAGCTAGGAGCGAAAGTTCGTTCCCGTCCGCGGGTGGCTGGGAGGTGTCCCAGTTGGGCCAGGCGGTGTCCCGGGTGTCCCGGGTGTCAGTAGGAGCGAAAGTCCGTTTCCCGCCCGCCGGTGGCCGGGAGGTGTCCCAGTTGGGCCGGGCGGTGTCCCGGGTGTCCCGGGTGTCCCGGGCGTCCCGGCGCTAACGCATGTTGCTAATTTCATAATTCATTTTTTTCGGCGCCTGCGGCCGGCTTTCTTATCCAATCCAGTTTATTTTATCCAATCCATCCTATCCAATCCAATCAATCTTATCTTATCCAACCCATTTTGTCCATTGTTGTCCCATCTTATCTTGTCCCACCCAATCCAATCCACCCAACCCAATCCATCAATTCATTTGTTTCTGCGCCTGCGGCGGGCCAATCCAATCCATATTATCTGATCCGATCTATTTCTTCCAATCCAACCCATCTTATCTGATCCAATCCATCTGATCCCATCCAGTCCAATCCACCCAGCCCAATCCATCAAGTTCACTTGCGGCGGGCTTTCTTATCCAATCCAGCTTATCTTATCTAATCCATCTTGTCCAATCCAATCCCGCCCGTCTGGCGGTGGCCCGCGGTGTCCCGCGGTGTCCCGTGGTGTCACGTGGTGTCCCGTGGTGTCCGCCGTTGCTAGGGCGAAGTCAAGACAAGTGATTATCCCCCGCCCGTCCGTCTGGCGGTGGCTCGCGGTGTCCCGCGCTGTCCCGTGGTGTCACGTCGTGTCCCGTGGTGTCCCGTGATGTCCCGTTGACTGAGAACGATAGTAATATCGATAATGAGATCGATAGTGAGATCGATATTGAGATCGATGTGGTGCTGTGGTGTCCCGAGATGTCCCGTGGTGTCCTCTGGTGTCCCAAAAAGTGAGATCGATGATGAGATCGATAATGCGATCGACAGGTGTCCCGTGGTGTCCCGTGGTGCCCCGTTGAGTGAGATCGATAGTGAGATCAATGTGGTGCCCCGGTGTCCCGTGGTGTCCCAAAAAGTGAGATCGATAGTGAGATCGACAGGTGTCCCGTCTTGTCCTGTGGTGTCCCGTTGAGTGAGATCGATAGTGAGATCGATAGTGAGATCGATGTGGTGTCGCGAGGTGTCCCGTGGTGTCCTATGGTGTCCAGTTGAGTGAGATCGATAGTGAGATCGATAGTGAGATCGAGAGGTGTCCCGTGGTGTCCCATGGTGTCCCGTGTTGTCCCGTGGTGTCCCGTTGAGTGAGATCGATAGTGAAAACGATAGTGAGATCGACAAGTGTCCCGTGCTGTCCCGTGGTGCCCCGTTGAGTGACATCGATAGCGAATTCGATTGAGTCAGATGTTGGTTCCACCGCCCTTTCCCCCCCAACACAATCTCCTTATCACCCGAAGGGTGGTCGTATAGGTACACGTATGTGTATATATATATATATATATGTCTGTGTATATATATTTATATATTTATCATCAGCAACATATATATATATATGTATATATGTTGATGTAATCATGCACGTAGCCATATATTTATAAACCTATAGACATGTGCGTGGAACATCGCATGTGGAAGGGGTAGGAAATAATCCTTCACGTGCGCGAAAGGTACTGGGGTTAGCCGTAGCGGGTGTTTGAACCGGCTTGTAGCAACTACCTCCAATCGCTCTTCCTTGCCCCTCCTCGGTGCTTGCATCATTCGTTCGTCCCCCATTCACCCCTCTCGCATTCTCCGTTCCTGGTTGTGATTCTACCTGACTCCACTTTCTCTCCGTTCCATGACCGCGGTGCACGTCCTCCAGTTCTTTCCACTCACCGCGATCCTCTCGCCATCCACAGCAAGGATCCGCGCGAGAGGGACTACCTGAAGACCGTCCTGCATCGCATCTATGGCAAGTTTATGGCGCTGCGTTCCTTCATCCGCCGTGCCATCCAGCATGTCTTCTTTAAGGTCTGCCGGTGGGAAACTGGGGCCAACGCTGAAGTTCGTGAACGCGCGGGATGAATACGAGGGTGGATGAAGTGGAGTGGAGGGGAGCTGAAGGGGTGGGGGAGTGGAGGTTGAGGCTCAAATCGCTTCAGGCTCTGGCTCAGGCTCGAAGCTTCGACTCGGGCTCGAGCTTGGGCTCGGGCCGGGCTCGGGCTCGGGCGCGGCCTCCTCCTTCTCCCTCTGACCCGTTTGGTCCTCCTCCCACACCCACCCCACCCACCCCACCCCCCCCGAAGGGCACCTGCCAACTCCATCGTTGAGCGCGCGCCCGACCCCCCCTTCCAAGCCCCGCCCCCCTCACCAAGAAAGAGAAACATAGAGGGAAAGAGAGAGAGAGATAGAGAGAGAGAGAGAGAGCGGCTCTGTCTTTCCTCTGTTTCTTCCTCTGTCTCTCTATCTCTCTCCTTCCTCTTACCTGCTTCCCCTTGCGGGGCTTCCCAATTGTTCTGCATCTGCTCGCCCACGAAAGCCGGTCTGCATGGCCACTGCACCGCTGCACTCCTGAGAGGCCAAGTTCTGACTCTGCCCTGGCCAGGAAGCCGGCGCAGTCCGGCACAATCCCGCTCCATCCGGCATATAAATCTTGCGCAATCCGGCTCAATCCTCATCCGCTTCATCCGCGGCCTCATCCGGCTGGGGCTCAATCCTCCGGTTTTTCCCTCTGGCGGAGGCCTCCCAGCAGTTGCCTCCCAGCGAGGATCCGTGTCCCCAGCTCGTGGCGATGGACACATCCCCGCCTCGCAGACGTGCTGCGTACGGGGTGGGGGGCGGTCCTTGGTATCGCTCGGACGTGTGCACTGTTTCTCGGCGGGGATTAGTAAGGAGCATCCTGGATCATCCTGCGAAGAAACCACGCAAGAGACTTAACAAAAACACGGGGAATGGACGTCCGAGCGATGGCCAGGGTCGGCGACGGGGTGGGCCGATAGCCTCGCCTAGGGACACGAAGAATGACATAAACATAACAACTCGGAGGTCCGCGCGGATTTCTCGGATCCGCGCTGGACCATCCTGGCGGCGCCTCCGGCGCCGCCCCAGGCGCGCTACGCGCACCAGGGAGGGGGGTCCAGCGCGGATCCGAGAACGTCGCGCGGACCTCCGAGCTTTTATGCTTATATGCCACTTTTTGGGTTCCCCTACCGCCGCCCCTCTCGGCCCTGCCCAGAGGTCATCTACGAGTCCGGGACGCACAACGGCGTGGGGGGCCCCAGGCGGCCGACGGATCCACCGTGGCCGGGTGCGCGCTGGCTCGGGCCGCCGGGCCGGCCGAGGCGGGGGCCGACACGAGGCCGGCGACGCGTCGGCCGACTCGGTCGATCGACGTCGAGCGCGCCCTCGCGCTGTGGATCGATCGATCGATCGCTCGGGCTCGGGGCCCCGTCGCCGCCGCGGTCGGCGCCGCTGCCGTCGCCGCCGTCGTCGTCGACGCCGGGGGCGTCGTCGTCGAGGCCCTCGTCGGCGCCGAGGCCGTCGTCGACGTCGAGGTCGTCGACGCCGAGCTCGTCGACTCGTCGTCATCGCCGTCGAGGTCCCCGTCGCCGTCGCCGCCACCGTCGTCGTCGCCGCCGCCGTCGTCGCCGATCCCGGGCACGATGAGGCTGCCGATCCGGCCGGTACATCCGATCGAGCGAGGGTCGGGGTGTGCCGGTCGGCGAGGTGCGCCGCGTGCCTCGGGAGCGGGGGCGGCCCCGGGAGTGGATCCTGGGGCCCCTGCTGCCCCATATGCCTCTCCTACTCGGTCTTCCTCCTCATCATCCTTCTCCCTGCCCTCCTCCTTCTCCTCCTCCTCCTCCTCCTCCTCCTCCTCCTCCTCCTCCTCCTCCTCTTCCTCCTCCTCCTCCTCCTCCTCCTCCTTCCCTCTTGTGCTCCTCCTGCTGCCCCTGCTTCTAGTCCTCGCATTTCCCAGGGCGCTCCTCATCTTGCTCATCCTCCTCCCGCCTTCTCGTCGTCCCCTCATATTATCCGTGTCCTTCCCCTCATGATCCTCGTCCTCCTGCTCCTCCTCATCCTCCTCTTCCTTCTCCTCGTTACTCCTCACTCTACCTCGTCGTTACAGCCCTATCATCCTCTGGCTCCTCCTCCTCGTCATCAAATCCCTTCCCTTCATTCTTCTTCTCCTCATCCTCTTCCTCATCATCCTCTTTCTCCTCGATCTGCTCTTCCTCCTCCTCACTCGTCGCCCCAAGGAAGACTTGAGTTCCGAGGCTCGAGAGGCAATACATGAGTCCTTCTGAGGCCGCGCAGAGGCTGCCTCGCCATGTGCTGGGAAGTAAGCTCGAAGAATATGCCAGGGTGGACCCTGGAATGAGTCGGGGACCGTTGTTCGTCGTCGTCGTGCGTCGTGCGTCGTCGTCGTCGTGTCGTGCGTCGTCGTCGTCGTGCGTCGTCGTCGTCGTCGTCGTCGTCGTCGTGTCGTTCGTCGTCGTCGTCGTTCGTCGTCGTCGTCGTCGTCGTCGTCGTCGTCGTCGTCGTCGTCGTCGTCGTCGTGTGTCGTCGTCGTCGTCGGCGTCGCTCGTCCTCCTTCCCCGTTCTGCCCGCCCCCTGCCTGGGCCCCGAGCCTTCGCCCCGTCGTCGTCCTGCGCTCCTCTCGGGCCGGCCGCCGTGCCCGTCGCTGGCCGCCGGTGCCCCTCGAAGGTGGCCCCCGGGCATCCCCTGTCGGCATCGTTATTGGCACCACGCCGGCGGTCGGAGGAGTCCGTGGGGCCTCTTGATTGGCGTGCACGCCTCGGGGGTGGATAGACCTCCTACCCTGTCACGTCGATTTAGGAATTAGCCGTTTCCTGTTCGCGAGAGGGCGTCGCGGCCGTCACTTTTGCGGGTCCAGGTCCGTCGGTTTCGGCCCTAGGCCGTTTTCACTAAAGGGAGGTTTACTAAAGGAAGGTTTGGCCGCCGCCGAACGCCGGTCGTTGAAAGCATAGTCGACCCGCATAGTGAGGATTGGCCACCTTCCCACGGGTTGGGCGCTGGGCCTCAGGCGCAGCATCGCCCGCTGCCTCTCCTCGGGGAAGGAGCAGAGGCACGCATGTAGGCGGTCAAGCCACATAGTGAGCATGGGCAGCCTTCCCAAGGGTTACCCTTGCATCCTGGCCTCCTCGGCCCATCCTTGGCCGATTTCCTTGGCCGCGCCCTGCCCGAAAAGCTTCGAAGTGGGCGTCCAAGGCCCGTGCACCCTTCTCGTGCATCCTTATGATACGGGCCGGCCGTGGGTCTGTCTGGCTTCCCAGGTCCCCATTTGCTTGAGGCGCCGTCCTCCTCCAGGGGTCGAGTGGTATTCCATCTGCCCTCGTCCGCAGGCGGCGGGAGGACGCCCAAGTATCTGTCCAGCGTTTAGTTGCCTAGATACGCCCGTTTTGGAACGCAACACGTCCCGTGTTCGAGACGTCCGTGTCAATACGTCGCGTGCTGGCTCCACGTGTTGGACCACGCTTTGGCGAATGCATCGCGTCGGACCTACGTTTTCAGCCTAAGTGTTGAGCTCTGTATCAATACGATACGTGTTGCGTGTCGCGTATCGGGGCAGCTAAGGTCCTGCGCCTTCCTGCCTCATGTTTCTGCCCGCTTCCTCCGACCGACGGTCGTACGGTTTTCGGGCTCGGGGACCGTTCTCGGAGGAGATTCCCGGGCGGCCCGAGCCTCCGAGGTTCCGCAAGACTGCGCGGTGGCAGGCCGTGAGGTGAGCTCCTCGGGGAATGCGAGGTTGCCGCGCGGTCTGCCACCGCAGAGGAGGAGGACAAGGACAAGGACAAGGTCGTTAGGGGCCTTGGTCGCAAAGGATGACGAGGAGGAGGAGGAGGAGGAGGAGGAGGAGGAGCAGGAGGAGGAGGAGGAGGAGGAGGAGGGGAAGAAGGAGCAGGAGGAGGGGGAGCAGGGTGAGCAGTAGGTGCAGGAGGTAGTGGGGGAGGTGGAGGAGGAAGGGGAGGAGGTGGAGGAGGAGGAGAAGGAGGAGCAGGAGGAGGAGACGGGGGAGGAGGGGAAGGTGGACGAGGAGGAGTAGGACCCTCATGCGACCACCAACTTGAGCGCGGTTTGAGGGATCACCAGAAGGAGCGGGAACTAGCGCGAGACGTGTCCAGGAGTCGTTCTCTCACCGCTCTCGGGGGGTCCTGGGGCCCTCCCAAGACTCGGGGACAGTCGCTGTCCAGGAAAGCGCACAACATCAGCGGGGGAACAAACAACGACATAAACATAGAACTCGGGGGTACGCTCGGATTTCTACAGGATCGGCGCTGGACCCCCCTCCCCTGGCGCGCGGAGCGCGCCAGTGGCGGCGCCGGAGGCAGCCCCAGGGGGCCCCAGCGCCGATCGGAGGAATCCGCGCAGACCTCAGAGTTATCATGTTTATGTCACTGATCGTTCCCTTCCGGAGACCACACGCAGAGGGGGTTAGGGGGAGGGGTGAAGGCCTCTCAGAAGGAAAAAATCAGCCCTGCTTCTTAGAAGGCACGGGCCGTGTCTATGGATGTACTGCCGGCGCCGTCTAAGGAACAGCCTCCTTCCGAGAAGCATCCCTCCCTCCTCCCTACCCCCTTGTGCGCGCCGCCAACATCAGGTCCAAGACCCAGTCCCGTTTCCTTCATGCCATGACTGTTTTTCTCTTGCTCTGGCCACGGGGCGGTCGCCCGTCGTGTGGCCAGTGCCTCCTAGCCCATGGGGCTGCTGGAGGTATTCTTTCGGTCAGTGAGGTCTCCCTCAGTTCCAGCAGTGGTTTCCCAGCCACCAGTGCTGTGTTTTTTTCATCAAGGCTGTGCGGGCGTTGAACTCAAAAAAACCTCCTCTTACTGCTCCTACATTCGGCCAGAGACCTGCCATCCCTCTTCCACCCGCGCCGCGCGCGGCGGCGGAGCCGGCGAACCCGAGCCCGCGCGGGAGTTCGGCCGCTTCGGAATGGGGGAGGGGGCGAATCGGATTGAACAAAGAGGAGAAGCAATGCAACCGTTGCCGCAACCCTCTGCACCCCGCAGCGGGGCGGCAAGGTCAGTAGGTCGGTAGGGTACCAATCAGCCCTCGAGAGAGAAACAAGGATGGAGAGATGAGCACGGGAGGGACGGGGAGGAGGGTGGCGGTATTTAGGAGGCCCCGTCCACTTTCAGCCGCGCCGGAGGTGGCAACTGGTCGGTCTTTGTAGTCGTGGCCCGGCCGCCGTAGCTCGCGCTGGCGTGCAAAAGGTGGTCCAGCGATCGACCTAGTCCGCACGTCTGTTGGCTTCAGTCAGGCCAGCCGCGCCTGCTGTGCAGATTCGTCGAACCAGTTGGGCGGTGTCTTCGAGAAGGGCGGGAGCCGCAGGTGTCTGTGTGCCCAGCTCCATGCAGGCAGTCGGCGCCGTCGTCGGGAGGTGTTATATATATATATGTATATATAAGATTCAGTCGGTAGCGCGTGTACTGCCTCGATTGTACGGATGTGGGCGGTTGCGATCTCTATGGCCTTAGCCTCGGCATCGCTCGGACGTGTGCATTTGTCCCTTCGGCGGGGACCATCGAGGAACATCCTTGATCAATTGGCGAAAAAAAACACGCACGAAACCGAAACAAACACAGGGAATAGACGTCCGAGCGATGGCCAGTAGCAGCATCCACTTCATCACGTGGGTCGTGAGGTAGAAGCTCTTCTGGTGGCCGTCGTTCAGCAGGTGATCCGCGTTGATCCGCAGGTGTCGCTCGTTGCGCAGCTGGTGGCTCTCGTAGCTCAGCTTGTGGCCCCCGTAGCTCACCGCGCGGTTCTCCTCTGAGTTCAGCATGTTGCCCTCGAAGATCAGCAGGTGGCCGTCGTAGCTCGGATGGTGGCTTGCGCAGCTCAGCGGGTGGCCCCTGCAATTCGCCCAGCCGGTGGCCCCCGTAGCCTACATAGCTCAGCTGGTTGCCGTCGTGGTTCAGTTGGTGGTCCTAGAAGCTCAGCTCATTGGCCCCCGCACTTGTAGCTCAGCTGCTGGTCCGCGTGTCGCCCACCGCGTGGCCCTTGAAGCTCAGCGGGTGGCCCTCGCAGCTCTGCCGGTGGACCCTGCAGCTCTTCTTGTGGCTTTCGTCGTAGAGCTGGTGGCTGTCGTAGCTCGTCTGGTGGCCTCCGTAGCTCTGCTGGTGGCGTTCGGAGCGCTGCCTGCGGCCGTCGCAGCTCAGCCTTTGGGCCCGCGCAGCTCTGCTGGAGGCGTGGGTAGCTCTGCTGGTGGCCCTCGGCGCGCTGCTTGCTGCCCTGGGCGCTCAGGCTGCAGGTCCGTAGGTCCGCAGGCGGCCCGCGTGGGTCAGCAGATGGCCCTCGTAGTGCAGCTGGTGAATCTCGTAGCTCCGCTGGCGGCCCGGCTGGTGACTCTCGCAGTTCTGCCCGTGGCACTCGTGGTTCAGCTGGTGTCTCTCGTAGCTCCGCCTGTGGCCCTTGATGCTCGGCTGGTAGCCTGCCTTTGCTGGCTTCGACCACGTAATCAATTGCCGACCTGAGGTGGTAGCTGGTAGAGCCCCGTTCCCTTCTGGTACGTGCTCGGAGTTGTAGAACTCGTAGCTCCAGCCTTCCCTGTGCTCGTACGCATGAAGGGTAAGTGCGGGGGCCGCCTGCCTCAGGTTGTTGACGTTCTGGGGTCGCCGACGTGTGCGACGGTCTCAGAACTGCAGCTGCCGAGATCGTCCCTCTGATTCCAGGGCGTGTGGCCGTAGCCAGTAGCACTCGTAAGAACAGCAATGATAGCCATCAGGATGTCTTTGGGGGATTTGGCTGTCGTCCACGTCTAACGAAATGTCCCATTCGCCTCTCAGCCGGTTCCACTCTGAGTCTCGGCATGGTTGCCCGTGTCTTAACGTATGATGGGCCTGGTTTCCTCCACCACCATACGTTGGAGGGATGAAGGAGGTGGAGGATGAGGAGGATGAGGAGGAGAAGGAGGAAGAGGAGGAGGAGGAGGAGGAGGAGGAGGAGGAGGACCCCCTCCCCTCCTACTTAGGGTGGCGGCGGTGGAGAACAAGCCCACCAAACTTACAGTGGTTAGTTAGTCCGCGTGGCATCTTTCACGATGGCATGGCGCCCGCCGGTCCGTGACGCGGCCAGCAGGCTCAGGCCATCTTCGCTTGAGCCAAAATGGATATGGACTCTCCTTCCCCTTCTCCTCCTCCTTTTCCCCAAATTGTTCTCCATCCTCCACCTCCTGCGTTCCCTGTCCCGCGCGCCTGCTTCTGAGGTGGGTGAGCTACTGGAGATCCTTGGCAGTATCATCAACGGGTTCGCCCTGCCCCTGAAGGACGAGCACAAGGACACGCCTTCTTTCCAGTCCGCCCACATGAGGCTGGAGCAGATGGGGTCGCAGTTTCGAGCCGCCTTGCCGATGCATTACCGTTGATGTTCTATCCGGAGCCCGATTCTCCATTCCCAAGTCGCCGATGAATCGCCGACACATCGGCGATGCGGTGCGATCCTCCGACCTCATCTGCTCCGAATGTATATGTCGCGGCGCCATTTGTTCCGACGCGCGGCCTTCCGTCATGGGGAGGGTGTGCTGCGGCCTTCAGGGCAAAAGCCGCTTCGGGCGCAGGGCTTCACAGTTTTGCTGTAGGTCTACCTTGGTGTCGGCGTCGGGCATTTGGGCGCGTCAAGATCAAATGGCGCGGCGACATGTGTGGCTCCACAGAGGTCTGGACCCCACTCCGGGGCCTGCATTTCATCCCGAGCCCATCTTTCACGGTCTTCGGGACTGGCATCACCAGGCCATAGGGCCGTGTGGCCTAGAATCGGCCGATGTTGAGCGATCTGCTCAGTCGGAAAGACGGGATCGCCCTCGTTAATATGATCCACCGGGTATCCGAAGTCGACGCCGACGTCCTCACGGCACGTTTTTGTTTTGGCCGGCGGCGCAGTTGTGGTCAAGCAGCAGTTGGGGCATGGCGAAACGAATTGGAACGGGGACGACGAGGTGCGGCCCTGGGCGAGAGGGAAAGACAGGGTCCAGGCACGAACATGCCATGATCGAATAACGAAGAACGACAGGAACATGTACAGCCGGACCGAGTTATAGGATCGAGGTCGGTTCGGGGAGGGTACCCTAATGTTCTTCGTGCTTGTTGGATGTTATTGTGCTTCCTGGGGGAGGGTGCCGTCGAATGCCATTCATTTTGGCCGGCAGAGGGTCCCGTGTTCTTGAAGGATGTTCTGCTGTCCTAGGTCCGACTGTACAGTCAACCCTGATACTAAGGATGATCGTCTTCCCAACGGTACCGTTGCATCCTTGCTTCTTCGGTCATCGTCGGTACATCCTCAACCACTTTCGATGACCAGCCCCGCTCGAAGAGCCTCGGCATGGGCGCCCAAGGTCCTTGCACCCTTACCGCGCGTCATCCTCACTATATGGGCTGGCCGTCTTTCTGAGGTCCGCGCGAATTTCTATGGTCGACGCTGCCCCCCCCCCCCCACTTGTGGCGCCTCTCACGCCGCAAACCTGGCGCCGGCCCAAGACATGCGCGCGAATATACGATCACGTCAATTTGTGCTCCCCTACGTCAGCAGGCTGACGTACGGCTTAGCCTGGATCGATCTAGATCCAATCGATACACATCGATATCGTATAAGGCGGGCCAGATCCGATTCGATTTCGATGTTCCGACGATCCGTTGTGTCCCAATTGTTGCAGGTTGTTGTTGTTGTTGCATGTGGTGTTGTTGTTGTTGTTGTTGCTGCTGCTGTTGTTGTTGTGGTTGTGGTTGTGGTTGTGGTTGTGGTTGTGGTTGTGGTTGTGGTTGTGGTTGTGGCTGTTGTTGTTGTTGCTGCTGTTGTTGTTGTTGTTGTTGTTGTTGTTGAATTCTCATGTCTGAAGAACAATCATTGTTGATCCCCCCCACCGGTGCATATTGTTTTTTCTCAATCAAAATGTGCCCCATCGACGCTCGCACCTTGTTTTTGACATGGAAAGTCTTCCTGCTCAAACTGGGCCCCTGGCCCCCGGGTTACAACAACAACGGCTCCCGCTTGAGACTTCCTTACAATTTTGGCAGGACCCCCGCTCCCGCCCGAGACTTCCTCGCATGTTATTCAGGAATCGCACTCTCGCTTGGGACTTCCTCACCATTTATTCAGGAATCGCTCTCCCGGTGCTGTGGAGACGCGCTCTCGCTGGAGACTTGCTTGCAACTTACTGAAGAATAGCCTTGCGGTGGAATTTCCTGCAATTGGCCCAAGTGCCGCGTTCCCGACACCCAGGCACCCAGGAGTCGCGCCCGTTGTGGCCCCATGCGCATGCCCTTCGTGGCCCCGCTGTCTCCATTTGTGTCCCCCTCTTTGTCCTACGTGGCCCAGTTGCTACCCTCAGTGGCCCCATAGTTGCCTTCTGTGGCCCCGCATTATCTGCACTTCGTGGCCCCCGCTCGTTCGCACTCTCCGTGGCCCCATACGCTTTCCCTTCGTGTCCCCGCTGTCGCCCTTCGTGGCCTACTTCGTGCCCTTCGTGGCCCTGCTGTCGTTCTCTCTCGCTCTCGCTTTCGCTCGTCGTCGCCGTCGTCTTCGACGTCGTCGTTGTCGTCGTCGTCGTCGTCGTCGTCGTGGTCGGTCCCCTGTCCATCCCTCTTGGGGTCGGGTCGACGGTCCGCGGCCGCCCCGCCGATCAGCGCTGCCGCTGGCCAGGCCGACGGTCCGCGGCCGCCCCGCCGCTTGCCGGGGCCCGGCCTACAGGGAAGAAAGGTATACCCCCAAAAGGGGTTCGATCGAAGACGAAGAGGGCGGGTATCGAGGGTATGGGAAATACGCGTTATTGCACACTCGAGCATATAAGGGCGAGCAGTCTTAAAATGATTGTTGTTGTTGCTGTTGCTGCTGTTGCTGTTGTTGCTGTTGTTGTTGTCCCCCCCAAGCAACCAGCAACCCAGCAACCCCCCAGGAGGGCCGAAGGCCCCCCCTGGGGGGGGCCTTCCGCCCTCCCGGGGGGTTGCTGAGTTGCTGGTTCTGTGCCCCAGATTGGTGATTCTGGAGGCCCCTTGAGAGTTCCTGGAGAGTTCTGGTTGCCTCTTGCGAATTCTGGCCTCTTGGGAGTTCTGGAGGCCTCTTGGGGCTTATCTCCTGGCCGATTGAAACTTTTCAGGGTTCCTCCAGGGGCTTCTCTGGAGGCTGTTTGGGGCTTCTCTGGAGGTTTCTTGGGGCTTCTGTGGGAGCCTTTTGGGGGTTCTCTGTCTGAGATAGAGTGGGAGGAGGAGGAGGAGGAGGAGGAGGAGGAGGAGGAGGAGGAGGAGGAGGAGGAGGAGGAGGAGGAGAGGAGGAGGAGGAGGAGGAGGAGGCGAGGACCGATGATGATGATGATGATGATGATGATGGATGATGATGATGATGATGATGATGATGATGATGATGATGATGATGATGATGATGATGATGATGATGATGATGATGATGATGATGATGCTGCTGATGATGATGATGATGATACTGATATATACTGATAATGATAATGATAATGATGATGATGATGATGATGAGGGAGGAGGAGGATGGAGGAGGAGGAGGAGGAGGAGGGGGAGAATAGGGGGCGGTGGAGGAGGTGGGGGCAGCAGGAAGTGGAGGAGGATGCAGCACGCGGAGGTTGGAGGAGGAGGAGAAGAACGAAGAGGAGGAGGAGGAGGAGGAGGAGGAGGAGGAGGAGGTTGGGGAACAGGAGACCGAGAAGAACGAGGAGGTACACAATGAGGAGGAGGAGGAAGATAATAAGGGGAAGTATCAGATCAATCTGGAGGCGGAGGAGGAGGAGAAGGGAGTAGTAGGATGAGGGTCAGGTGGACGAGGCGGAGGAGGAGTATGGGGAGAAGGAGGAGGACCAGGGAGAGGAAGAGGACGAGGAGGATGAAGATGATGGGGAGGAACAGGAGGAAGCGGAGAAGGCGGAGGAGGATCCTCAGGACCCCCTGGAGGATCATTCTGGACTTTGTCGGAATCCTCATCGTTTCCTGGGGGGGTCCCTTGAGAATCCCATGGGTTCCTCATGGGGTTCTCGAGGAATCCTTTGAGGTCTTCAGGATTCTCCATCCTCAGGGTTTCCTGAGGGTTGTCTTGCGCTTCGGAGAATTGCGTATGGGCTTCCTGAGGATGCCCAAGGGGTTCCAGAGGATCCCTTGCGAGTTCTGGAGGATTCCCCTGTTATGCAAGTTCTGTGCTATGTGCACGTGGACCATTTAGGGCGAGCAGGCTTTGCCGTCGGAGGTTTGCTGGTACCCATCGCACGTCCGTGTTAGAGATGCAGTCGAGCGGCCAGTCTACTTCCTCGACGCTATCTGTTGCGACAGCAACTTCCCCGCAGATGCCCGCCACACGGTGATGATGATGATGATGATGATGGTGATGGTGATGGTGATGGTGATGTTGATTGTCACGTTAACGATGATGCTGGTACTGAGTATGATGATTCTGATGATTGGAATGATGGTGCTGATGCTGATGAATGTGACCAGCATCATCATCATCATGATAATGATAATGATCATGATCATGATGCTTCTGCCGATTATTATCATGATGATGCTGCCCCCGCCAAAATCAGCTCACCATGGTTCCCAGGCGGCCCCGAAACGGCTCACAAGAGGTTTCTAGGAGGTCGCCAGGACGGACACAGATGTGTCCAACATGGTCGTGGTGGCGATATTGGTATTCATGAGTACGATGATTACGCTGATCATGCTGGTGTTGATGCTGATGCTGATGCTGCTGGTGGTGGCGATGAGAATGCTGATGATGCTGATGATGAGCATGCGGGGACGGATAATGACGAGGATGATGAGGATGATGGTGATGCTGCTGATGGTGATGATGATAATGATGATGATGATGATGAGGATCATGATGTTGATGGTGGTGATAGTAATCATCATGATGATGATGGTGATGGCGGTGTTGGTGATGGTGGCGATGATGATGATGGTGGTGACGATGATGACGGTGATTGTCATGGTGACGGTGATCGTGATGCTGCTGATGACGGTCATGATGGTGATATTGTTGTGGATGATGGTGATTCTGATGATGTTGATGAAGATGATTATGCTGATACTGCTGATGATGGTGGTGATGCTGATGTTAATGATGATGACAAGTGTGGATATGATGGTGATTGCGATGGTGATGATGATGATGATGATGATGATGATGATGATAATAATGATGATGGTGATGATGATGATACTGGTGATGGTGATTGTGATGGTGATGATGATGGTGATGGAGATGATGATGATGATGATGGTGATGATGATGATGAAGATGAAGATGATGATGATGATGATGATGATGATGATGATGATGATGATGATGATGATGATGATGATGATGACGAGGATGATGATGCAGCTGCAGCGGAGCTGCAGACCTCCATCATTGCGCAAGGCTCGGAGGCAACGCCAGTGGAGGACAGGCTCAGTGGGGTGCGCCTCCTCTCCTTCTACTCCTCCTCCGCCTCCTCCTCGTCCGCCTCCTCCTCCTCCTCCTCCTCCTCCTCCTCCTCCTCCTCCTCCTCCTCCTCCTCCTCCTCCCCCCCCTCCTCCTCCTCCTCCTCCTCCTCCTCCTCCTCCTCCTCCTCCGCCTCCGCCTCCGCCTCCTCCTCCTTTCCCGCCTCTTCCTCTCCTCCTCCTCCTCCTCCTCCGCCTCCTCCTCCCCCTTCCTCCTCCCCCTCCTGCCCATCCTCCTCCGCCCTCCCCCTCCTCCCCCCCCAGCGTCTTCCTTTTCCTCTTCCACCACGCCGTTTCGTTCGTGGGGTTGCTGGTTGCTGTTGCTGGGGGGGTGGTCGACCTGGGGCACCGGGGCTTCGAGCCTGGCCTTCACAGGGGGGGGGGGAGGGCCGGCAGCCGCTGTCAGGTGGTGCCGGGGCTCTGTTGCCAGCCTTTTCCTCGTTGTTGTTGGTGTTGGCGTTGGTGTTGTTATTGTTGTTGTTGTTGTTGTTGTTGCTGCTGTCGTTGTTGTTGTTGCTGTTGTTGCTGTTGTTGTTGTTGTTAGTTTTTGTTGTTGTTGGTGGTGGTGGTGTTGTTGTTCTTATTGTTGTTATGGTTGTTGGTATTCCCTACCTAGGCTCTGCCTAGAAGGGTTCTTACTCTCTAGCTTAAAGGGGCCGGGCAGTGGAAAGCGCCCCGGGCGGTTCCCCCAGCCCCCGCCCCGCGGTTCCCCCAGTTGCGCCCCCTGGATTCACCCAGCTTAGCTTAGCTTCAGCTTAGCTTTAGCTTAGCTTTAGCTTAGCTTTAGCTTAGCTTTAGCTTAGCTTTAGCTCAGCTTTAGCTTAGCTTTAGCTTAGCTTCAGCTTAGCTTTAACTTAGCTTCAGCTTAGCTTCAGCTTAGCTTCAGCTTAGCTCTAGCTTAGCTTTGCTTAGCTCTAGCTTAGCTTCAGCTTAGCTTCAGCTTAGCTCTAGCTTAGCTTCAACTTAGCTCTAGCTTAGCTTCAGCTTAGCTTTAGCTTAGCTCTAGCTTAGCGTTAGCTTAGCTTCAGCTTAGCTCTAGCTTAGCTTTAGCTTAGCTCTACCTTAGCTCTAGCTTAGCTTTAGCTTTAGTTTAGCTTTAGCTTAGCTTTAGCTTAGCTTCAGCTTAGCTTCAGCTTAGCTTTAGCTTAGCTCTAGCTCAGCGTCAGCTTAGCTTCAGCTTAGCTTTAGCTTAGCTCTAGCTTAGCTTCAGCTTAGCTTAACTTGTTTTCAGCTTATCTTCAGCTTAGCTTTTGCTTAGCTTCAGCTTAGCTCTAGCTTAGCTTCAGCTTAGCTCTAGCTTAGCGCCAACTTAGTGTTAGCTTAGCTCTATATTAGCTTCAGCTTAGCTTCAGCTTAGCTTTATATTAGCTTTAGCTTAGCCTTAGCTTAGATTGAGCTTAGCTTTAGCTTAGCTTCAGCTTAGCTAAAGCTTAGCTTGTTCTTAGCTTTAGCTTAGCTTTACTGTTACTACTAATGCTGCTTTCCTAGGGGCTCCAACTCCTGGGTAGGGTCGCACTGGGACAATTGTTGTTGTTGCTGTTGCTGTTGCTGTTGTTGGTGTTGTTGTTTTTCGTTTTGGTTGTTGTTGTTGTGCATCCTGGCGTGGACGATGCCATTCGCTTCCGCCTCCTTGCCGATGCCACGAGTCGACGCCCGTGCCGGTGCAATAGGCACGACTACCTGATGCGATTCTGAGTGGTCCTGCAGGGCTTATTTCGACGCCCCCGATTCGATCCGATTCGATTCGATTTCGATGGGATCCGATTCCGATTCGATTCGGCTTCGGATTCCGATGTGGATTCCCGTTTCTCCATGAGGCCTTACTATTCTGCGGATGTCCGCTGGGTCGATTTCTCCCGACATGGCTCTCGACTTCCGCCGATCCGATTGATTTCGATCGTCGATTCGACTCATCGATTCGATTCCGGACTCTTCCGGTCCTGCTTGTTGGAGGCTTTCTTTCAGGGGCAACATTCGAAGATGGAATCAGGGGGGGACCCGTCGGTCCCCAATCGCCCAATGATTGCCGATCTGGGGCCCCATGGCCCAGTTCCCCCAGGAGCATGCGGATCCGCTCTCTGGATCCTCTCGCCGATCCATCGGCGATGCGTACCGCCGATTCCAGATCGATGTTCCCCCCCTCCCCGCCCCTCGAAGCAGGTCCCCACCCCCATCAACGACCCTCATTTGGGGAGGAGCCACATGTCTCAGGCTCGGAACCTCCAGGGCCCGCGAATTCCCCAGTGGTTGTTTAACGCTCTGCGCCTCTTGGGCCCTGGCTTGAGGTCTCTCTGGGCGTCTCCCGGTGACCTTTTGTGCCTGGTGAGGCACCTCGGGGGGGAGTGCTCTGGAGCTCTTCGGAGGCTTGTTGTGTAACCTTCTTTGGGCGGTCTGGAGGCGTCCTGCTGCCGACTTGGGGCGGCTCGCATCGTCAAAGGCGGAAATTACCGTAAGTGTAAACTTTTGGCGTTCCGCTGGGATTTCTTGGGTGCGCGCTGGGCTTTCCTAGCGGCGCCTCTGGCGCCGTCCCTGGTGCGTTCCGCGCGCCAAGGAGGTGAGTTCAGCGCAGATCAAAAAAATCCGCGCGGAGCGCCAATAGTTTATGTTGATGCCTTTTGCTTTTCTTGTACATCGGCTGTCTTGGACCCAGCCCCCCCCCTCCGGACGTCCCTTCGGCGGCGAAATCCGAAACGTACCCTCGCCGATCCACGATTCAGGCGACTCGACGGGCGGCGGCGGTAGCGTCCAGAATGCGGCGAACACGCGGCGAAGTCCGGACCCTACAGTGAAGTCCAGACCTTACAGTCAACCCGCATAGTCAGGATGAGCAACTTTTCAAGGTTAGCACTGCGTACTTCAATTTCGGTCCATCCTTGGCATCCTTGGCCGCTTCCTCTGGCCGCGCCCCTCTCGCAGAGTGTTGACATGGTCCTCCAAGGCCCTTGGCAGCCTTTTCATGCGTCCTTATTGTACTGGTTGATTGTACCCCGCCACCCATCGATTCAAGAGAAGAGTTCGGATGTGGGCACCTCCACCAATCAGACATCTCAACCAAATAATTCAAGTTTCAGGGGCTCCAGATCTCGTTCGAGAGAACCGAGGACCTGGACTGGACCCTGGGAATTCTTTTGGAGCCTTGCTTCTTCGTAGAACGTCGGTATAGACCTTGGAGTGCTGGGCTACTGTCCGAGACAACGCTTGGGGTGCAGTCCACGTGCTTGGCGCAAGACTCTCTGCACCCGAAGCAGGGGTGTGCATGCGCTTGTCGCCGAGATGAGGGCCTGGGGCCCTCGTGGCCTCCGCTCCCAGCCCACGGCCACCGCCCGGCGGGCGTCGCGGCCCCGCCCGCGGGCGCCCGCCCCCCGGGAGCCGACATCAGAAGCCCTCTCGGAGTGCGCGGCGGATCGCCAGAACGCCGACGGCGGCGTCGTCGTCGTCGACGACGGCCGCGACGAGGGCGACGACGAGTGTTCGGATGAGTCGATGCTCCGCGCGGCGGGGGGGGGGCAGGCAAGCCCTGCCCCATGGCTATTCCCCCTCTCACCGGCGGCGGGCGAGGGGGGGAGTGAGAGGGGGAAGATCTTGTCTGAAGACAGGCGGGACTTCTCGGAAGGCCTCGTGCCTTCTGGGTTCTTCTCGTGCGCCTTCGGGGAAGGCTCAGAAAATCTCCCAGAAGGCCTTGGGACTTCCGAGCCTTCTGAGGAGGCCCGCCCGCCCCCGTCTCCTCTCCCCCCCTCGCCGCCGCCGGCCTCGACTGCGACAGCAGGCCGCCCCGCCGGCGCCCACCCCCGTGGGCTCACGGCCTTGTGTGCGCCTTCGCCGCAGAGGCGCCACCCCAGGAGCCCTGGCCCTTTCCCTAAGGGGCTCGATCCTCCTCCTCCTCCTCTCCTCCCCTCTCCGCCTCCTCTTCCTCCTCCTCCTCCTCCTCCTCCTCCTCCTGCTCCTCCTCTCCTCCTGCTCCTCCTCCTCCTCCCTCCTCCTCCTCCTCCAACCCTTCACGGCCTGCTGGACGCCGCTGAGGCGATGGCTCCAGCCGTTTCGATGGACTGCCCGCGGCATCGGGAAATCGAATGCGACGAGGGAGAGGAGGAGGAGGAGGAGGGGAGGAGGAGGAGGAGGAGGAGGCGGATGAGAGGAGGAGGAGGAGGAGGAGGGAGGAGGAGGAGGAGGAGGAGGTGGAGGGAGGAGAGGAGGAGGAGGAGGAGGAGGAGGAGGAGGGAGGAGGAGGATGGAGAGAGGAGGAGGAGGAGGAGGAGGAGGAGGGAGGAGTGAGGAGGAGGAGGAGGAGGAGGAGGAGGAGAGAGGAGGTAGGGAGGAGGGAGAGAGGGGGGGCCCTCCGCGCTTCTCCCGCGGCCTCGCCCTCGACCTGGACACCCTCCTGCGGCCAGCAGGCGGCCAGCAGGCCGCCGCGCGGCCTGGCGGGAGGGGGGGGCGGCGCGCGCGAGGACTTCCTGCTCAAGGCGCTGCTTCCCCTGCACAAGGCCCGCGGGCGGCCCCCTCTCGGCGGCGAGCAGGAGGAGGAGGAGGAGGAGGAGGAGGAGGAGGAGGAGGAGGAGGAGGAGGAGGAGCCGGAGGAGGAGGAGGAGGACGGGGAGGAGGAGGAGGAGGAGGAGCAGGAGGAGCAGGAGGAGCAGGAGGAGCAGGAGGAGGAGGAGGAGAAGGAGGAGGAGCAGGAGGAGCAGGAGGCCCGAGGGTCGAGGGTCGAGCCCCTCAGGGGAAGGGGCCCCGGGGCTCCCGGGGCTGCGCCGGGCGCTGCGCAGCTGTTTCGGCACCTGACGCCCGCAGGATTGGCCAGGCAGCTACAGTCGACCCGCAGAGTAAGGATAGGCATCCCTCCCAAGGGTACCCTTGCATCCTTGCTTCCTGGGTCCATCCTTGGACACTTTCGTTGGCCGCGCCCCGCTCGAAGCGTTTCGAAATTGGCGTCCAAGGGCCTTGCATCCTTATCGCGCATCCTTACTCTGCGGGTTGACGCCCGGAGAATTGGCCAGGCAACTATTCCGGGGCTCAAGAGACGGAGGTCAATGCAAACGGGGGTCAGCCAGGGCACCAGATCCTGCAGGATCCTGCGAAGACCCCCTCTGGCTGACCCGGGTCAGCGATCCGCGCGTGGCCGCGAGGCGGCCGCGCTTATTGGCTGACCAGGGTTTGCGAAGACCTGCGTTGCAGTATTTTTTTCCTGCATTGCAGTTTTTGGTTCCCTGCTGACCCGGGTCTGGATTGACCCGGGTCAGAAGATCCCCGACTATTCACGGTACGTTGTTTTGCGGCGTTTTCTGTGAAGCCATATGGGACAGAGCCCACCATGTTTGAGTGTATATTCGCACGTTCCTTACAGTTGTGTGTAAGGTGTGTGTGTGTGTTTGTTTGTATGTTCCCGCTCCTGTAGAACCGTGGTCCCTTCCAACGATGTGCTGGTTCGCTGCGTTCTTCACGCCTCTGGCGCTTGCACCCCTGGTTTCGGTCCCTGGGTGTGTTCACGATGCCGTCCCGCGTCCACCGCCAGTTCACTTCAGCCCAGGCTGGCCGCTTCGGAGCGCTCATTTTGCAACGCTTTCAGCCGCGAGAGTCCCGTCCATCCTGTCCCCTGCGGCCGCACTGTCATCCTGCGTCTCCTCCCCTGCACCCGGGCAATTCGTTGGTCATCGCCCCCGACTATTGTGAGCTCTCGCGCGGGTAGCTTGTTCCGAGCTGCGACGGAAAGAATGTGTGTGTGTGTGTTTGTGGGTTTGTCTGTGTATGTGCGTGTGTGTGTGTGTGTGTTTGTGCGTGTGCGTGTGCGTGTGCGTGTGCATGTGCGTGTGCGTGCGTGCGTGCGTGCAAATATGTGTTTGGTGTTCACGTGGTACGTGGAGCCGAGGGG